TTTTTAAAGAAAAAAGTGCTGTAAAGAACAGGTGCCCCAAGTAACGACTGTACCAGAACTCTTAACGACCCAAACACCCTGACCAGTCTGACTGAAGTTGCATTCACCTCGTAAAAGGGTTGCTGTGTGCCCAGACTCTGACTTGAATCTGTGCGAATAAGCTCTGCCAAGGAGATCTGCAAACGATTTGCAGTGAGGTTTGTTTCTGCTGATGTGCAAAATAAATAATAATAATAATAATGTTTGCTATTTGAGATAGTCTCAACACGCTTCACAGTGAAAGTGTATTTGAAGGCGAACGAGACAGGCCATGTGCAAATGATCAATAAAGTGGGCAAATCCGATGTGTTTTTTTTCCACCAAGTTCTGCCCAGAAGTCGTGCCCGAAATATTAACCCGTCTCTCTCTTTCGGATGCTGACTCGCCTGCGGTGGATTTCCAGCGTTTCTTCTGCTTCTAATTATTGTTCAGTGAGTCGAGGAAGAGGGTGAAACTATCTCAGGGGACCTTGTTTTACGCAGCGCGTTAGTTAGTTTACAGTCGGTGAGAGGGGGTTCAGAAACCTGTGGCGCTCAGTGATTGAGTCACTCAGTGAAGTTTCCAAAATCTTTCTTTTCCCCCTTTTAGCCTGGAATGGGATTTGCCTGCACTCAGCACACACTACCTTACTGTGTGCAGTAAGCAGTCATGTGGCCGTCTTAAAGTTTGGTGCATTTTTTCTCTCTCTCCAATTTGCATGACAGGTGCCAGAGTCATATCATCTCTGTTGTTTTCTTTTTGGAGGGGTGTGTGTGTGTGTGGGGGGGGGGGGGGGGGAAGAAAGCTTAATAAGAGCTAAAGCACTCAGAAGTGAAGAAACACACCCCCATCAAAGAAAAGTACTGCGTTTGATCTGATGTGGGTCAGGAATCCTGGAAACTGCAAAGTCTGCCACAACATTTTACCATTTCACTTTATATTCCCCCTAATATAGAGCCCGAGAAAGAACTCGAATTTAAATCTTGGCAGGTTCTTTATATATATTATATATATATATGATATATATAAACACAGACATTCCCTGCGCCCAGTGAATGATGGAGCCACTAATCGCTGAGCCGGGAGACAAATACGATTACTAGCAGAGAGTCTTGAGTCAGAAAGTCTCATAGACTTTAAGATGTTAATCCTCAACGTAATCCTTCCTTTGCCGTGTAGAAATACTGCAGCCACAAGAGTTGTTTTGTTATTTATATTGGCGTTTAATAAAACTCAGCCTGGGCTGAATAGGACCCTTACTCTTGGATGGTAATTAATTCCTTATTTCTGTGACCCAATTGTGCTGGTATAGAGGAGTGGACAGTGCCTATGGCTCTCTATCTTTGTCCAAAGACACAGCTCTCGTGCTTCAACAGCTATGGAAACTCGTTCTTTTGATGTCATTCAAGAGTTTTTCTTGGACATCTTCCACTTCAAGGGGCTTCTGATTTTCTCCCTCCCTCTCTCTCTCTCTCTCTCTCTCTTTTGCTTTTTTTTTATTAATTCGTGAAAGCCTTCCAGCTTGGCCACCTCAGTAGAATTTAATGATTTGTTGAAAGCCTTTTGGGGGGGGGGGGGAGTGGAGTGAGCATGATAGCTTGGCAAAGTCAGCTGCTAAAACCAGGCGCATTGTAACTAATCTCTTTTCCTCCTCGTGGACCAAAAGATCTGCAATATCCAGACAGCATCTCAACTCCGAACTGCTCTTATTTGCTGCACTCCGGTGCCTTCCGACAGCAGAGTTTTTCATCATCTCTTTCGGTGTCTCGAAATCCCATTTTACAGCTTCTTTTTTTTTTTTGGGGGGGGGGGGGGTGGGTGGAGGTGGTGGGGAAAAAAAAAAGGTATGGAGGTAGAATCATCGAAGGTGCTGCGATTGCAGCGTTACAATAAAACCTATTGCGGGTTTAGTTGCTGTGCGCTGATCCATGGTTACAAAACGCATCTGCTTGGGGTTGTTTTTTTTTTGGGGGGGGGTGTGTGTGTGGGGTAAATTGTGATGAATCTGTTGCAGCATTTGCAAGGAAAGACTCTGGAGTGAACCATATGGCCAGGGTGACTCGAGCTGGCCATGTTTGCCAAACAAAGAAGGGGATTGAGGAGCTGGAGGAAGGCAGCAAAGTCCTCTCTTTTTTTTTCCGGCTGATGAAGCTGTTGTCTGGAGCCAATGATCCCAGGTCTGGAGGCTTTATTCCCCCACTCAGGCTGGGGACGTGAGATGTCATACGATTAAAATCTTTCATATTTACCCCAAGTGTGCAAGGGCGGGCAGGTCTCTGCGGAGAGGAAGAGGGGGTGTGGGGGGGGAGGTGGGGGGGGGGGGGGGGGGGGGCGCATATGCGAGATAGACTTTGCATTTGAAAAGAAAAGAGAGAGAGAGAAGTGGGGGAAAAAAATTCGGATAAATGCACTTTGAATGAGGATTTGGCAGCATTTGCTGCCGTCAGGCGCTCATCGATCGTTGATTGAGATTTTAGGAAGAACAACGACGAGCTGATGTCTGGATTTGTCAAAGCATTGAGTCCCAGTGATCTGAATAGTCTTTTTTTTTTGGAGGAGGGGGGGGTGCATTTATCCACATCCACATACACATCGCTGTGAAGTATTTTAAGTGCGGACTTTCCGAGCAGAGCACAGGAGACAGTCACACTCGCCCCCAAGGTCAATGCAGCGAAATATAATTTGAAGGTCGATTTAATGAAGATGCCTTTTGAATGGTAACTCTGTGCACACACAGACGGGATGTTCACCGGGTTGGGAGACTGAACGTGGGAGTTATGACCGCAGCCGAGCAGTGTTTGTGCTAATAATAATAATAATAATATAATAATAATAATTATAATAATAATAATAATAATAATCCGTGCATTTGATATAGCGCTTTTCACGTCGTTTGTAGAGCCGCAAAAAAAAACTGTTACTGCAGTCATGATATTGCTGATTCTAATACTCTGACATTCATAAATGATATGGGAAGTTTTACATTTCTTTTTACAGTTCGTTTCGCAGGGAAGAGAAAGAGAGCGACATCTAGTGAAACTACAGAGGAAGTCACTCACATCTACTCACATTGGCTTCAAACAAGTTGATGTGCCACAAGATTCAGTCCAATTTTGAGAGACAAAAATGAGTATCCATCCATCCACCCACCCACCCACCCATCCATCCATCCACCCACCCACCCATCCACCCATCCATCCATCCATCCATCCAGAAGTACTTTTGATTTCTGACCAAAAATATGAGGGTTCATCTTGTTGACTGATGTTTCGGATGGAGACATCTGTTGAAGATGAGGAACAGTATTATTTTTGTATTGTACTGTGTCCAGTATGTTACAAGGAAATCAAATGCTTCGTTTTTTTAGGGATTTCTCAAGAGAAGCAGTGAAATAGTTTTTTTTAAATGATCCTCTAAGGGATGAGGGACTTCGGTTATGTGGAGAGACGGGCGAAGCTGGGAATGTTCTCCTTAGAGCACAGAAGGGTAAGGGGAGATTTAATAGAGGTGTTCAAAATGATGAGGGGTGTAGATAGAATAAATAAGGAGAAACTGTTTCCACTGGTGGGTGGGTTGGTAACCACAGGACATAGATTCAAGATAATTAGCAAAGAACCAGAGGGGAGATGAGGAGAACTTTCTTTTTAAACAGTGAGTTTTTATGATCTGGAATGCACTGCCTGAAAGGTTGATGGAAGCAGATTCAATAATAACTTTCAAAAGGGAATTGGATATACACTTGAAAAGAAAAAAATCTAAAGCTATGAGGAAAGATAGGACTAATTGGACAGCTCTTTCGAAGAACTGGCACAGGGACGATGGGCCGAATGGCCTCCTTCTGTGTTATAGGATTCATGATTCTCTAATAAAAAGCTCCAGCATCAAACTGATCATTGATCCCCAAGTATTGGGGATGTGACCGAAACGGGTTCTCAATGTTTGAGTACTGTGTGCGTAATGTTTATAATATGCAGACAATTGGCAGCCAGGGTTAACTTCACAGGACATATGTAAATATAGCCAAAAGTACATAGAGGCTGAAAATATGAAATTTCATCAAATGTAATAGAATGTAAATTTCTAAACCTTTCCTAGAATCTTATCAAAATGCAAAAGATTTGCGCTTCAAACGTGTGGCTAAGCATCATTGCTCATTTTCCAGTTTACTAGTGTACAGTCTGTTTTCATTATCGCAGTGAGTGAATCAATTACTAGAATATTTATTTTCCCCCAATATTTTCTCCTTGAGAGGCATTTCTATGTGTTCAGTAACCTTCTGGCATCTCTTCCAGGTAGTCAACAGGCAGGGCGAAACCTTGGGCAAGTTTCCTTACTCCACACACCTAATAATAATCCCTCCAAAACAAAACAATAATAAATTGGTCATTTTCAATCCATGACTGTTTGTGGGACACTGCTGTGCGCAATTGGCTGTCGCGTTTCGCCCACAAATATACGGTCAATTCACTTTACAGCATATTCTGTGAAGCGCTTTGAGACGTCTAGAAGAAGTGAAAAGCGCTATATCAAATCCAAGGATTATTATTATTATTCGTGATTCTCCTCCAATTCTTCAGGGATGCTGAGTCTACAAACTCCTCTCCATCATCCCCGCCCCTCCCTCCCCTACTTTGGCATGAGGGTTGCACCGAAAGTCAGCCCATGTCTGGCGTTGAAGGGCCATCATTTCAGTGGCAGTTCCCATGGGACGTCCACCCGACGTGAAATGCGCTTTACAAATGTAATTTGTTGTTGTTGTAGTTCCCGGGTTAGGAACACAGGAATAGATCAAACTTGGAACTTTCCTAGTCTTAACTTTCACTACGTGAACACAGACATGGAATACTTCTATAGACTAAATGTTATCTATTGTAGGTGGATTTCAAATTGCTAACTGAGGATGGTCCACTTCAAGGACTCTGCACAAAGAGCGGTAATTGGACATTTCTTTGAATAATTTATAAATCACACAATCTAAGAGAAATATATATTAAATTTATTAAAAGAATCACTTACATATTTTTCCAAAGTACATACATTTCAAGTAGCAATGAAAGATGGTGTATATTACCTTGTTTACTGGAAGTCATTTACAACACAAAAGTATTTCTGTTTAGTATAATCCTTTCATCTGATATGGCTCCTTTAACATCAAATCATCTCAAAGCGCTTCACAGCCAAATTCCGTCAAGTGTAGTGACTGTGTATTTATAGGCAATCATAGCAACCAATTTGCACACAGGGGTCTACTAACAGACATAAAGTGAATGATGACTAATTTATGAGAATTGACCAGGACAACACACTTTTTAAAAAAAAATGGTATCATGGGATCTTTAACGTTCACCTGAACAAGCATCCAAAGAACAGCAGTTCTGAAAAAGCAGCACTTCTCTAGTATTGCCTGGAGTGTTAGCTCCTTATGTGGGGCTTCGATCCATGACTTTCTGACATAAAGATGACAATGCTACCAACCAAGACAAGCTGACTTTTAGAAATCAACTGAATTAAAGTAGTTGGCTATCAGAACACATTTAACATTTTTTATATGTACATTTCATATGATTTGGCAATAACATTGGTACCACAGCTGTATAATTTAATTTGTTGTCAGGATCCATCAATCAGGTTTATTACAAAGTAAGTTAATACAATTTCCTTGACAGATAAGACAATGTTTCTATGAGATTTAAACAGCTTCATTTATTGTTTTCATTACCTGGGAAGAAGAAGGGAAGCAAACGATCATTATTTCTCCAAAATGTAATAATCTGAAGTGAACAATTGCCATATATAAAATTGCTCATCAATTCTTGGTGACTGTAGTAATTGGGGAGCCACATGACTGATTAAAACAGCAGTAGCAAGTAGATTGTATTTTCACCTCTTCAACCATGGGTTCAAACAAAATGCAAAACAATGGGATGAAAAATAAGAGCGGTCTCACCTTTTGCAGCAAAGTAGTGGAAGCCTTACTCTGGATCTGACCTATGCTGCCCTTGACCTGTGTGACAGCTCTTGATTATTACTCTGACTTCCCCAAAAACCATACTCCTCTTTCAAAAATAAAATAATCAACACTGTCACAAAACACATATGGTCGGACACGGTGCTTCACACCTACCTGGTTATGCTGTAGAATCTGTAGCAGTCAGACAGCTATGCAATTCAGTCAACTAAGAGCACTGTGCGGAGCCAATAGACAAGGGGTGGGCTGGAGGAGCTTGGGGAACCACTTACAATTATTTGAGAAGATTTAACTAAACATTTTTTTTGACAAAAGTGGGACTGCAGTTATCAATTTATATAATGTAGCCATTAAAATGAAATATATTAAATACAACTATTTATTATTACCATTATATTATTGCATCAGGAAATATGTAAAAAGAATACAATCTGGATAGACAATGTTTTAAAAGTGCTATCTATAGTGGGAAAGGAGGTAACAAGTCATCTGCATCATTTTCCCACATTTCGTCCATAACTTCTGGCTCCTCCATTTGATTAATGTCTATTATTCCATCCTGTGTCTCAATATCAAGCACTGTTTTGTTCTCAGACCAACTACAAGGTGAGGGAGCAGTCCTGGGGTCTTTGTTCCAGCTCTTTTTGTCCTGCCATTCAGCACAGAATTCCTGTTGTGGACTTCCAGTGCCCGGCTGCTCTTCTCTCCTAAAGTAATATACAATAAGTTTAAATTTAATCTGTTTTTGTACTTAATTTCATGTTTTTGAAGGCAAAGGACGTTCTCTTCGGTACATTCATGTAAACCAAAAGTTGAAAATCACCATTGCTCTTACAGATGGTCAGTGAATTTGGTCACAAAGATTTCATAAGATTATCATCCAAAGTATTCTTCTAGTCATAATAATCCTTGCATTTGAAATAGTGCCTTATGACATTGTCAAAACATCTCAAAGAGCTTCACAGAATTTACTGTAAAGTGTGGGTGGATGCAGCAGCAAATTTTGACAGGACACTGGGAGAAACTCCCTTCTCTTTTTGAAGAGTGCAATGGGGTCTTTAACATCCAGCTGAACAGTTAGATGTAACCTAGGTTTAATATCTAATCCGAAGGATAGCACCTCTGATAATGTAATACTGCTCCAGCACTGCATTGACGTATCAGTCTAGACTGCAAGCTCAGAATCTGATATGGGGCTTCAAACCACAACTTCTGTTTCAGAGGTAGGAGTGCTACCAACTGAGTCACGATAACGCATTAGAAAAGTCCTTGGAAAGGACTTTAGTAAGAAAGCTCTGTTAAGCCAAGAATGTGTGAGAGTAGTGGAGATGTAGCTATAAAGAAACTTCAACATAGAATGTCACTTTGGTAGATACACCTGATGCCAATACTAGCCTGAAGAGAAGAACCGAATACAGTGGAAGCCGCTTAAACCAGACACACCGGGGCTGAGTGGTTTGTCCGGCTTAATCGGGGTCCAAGCTTAACCAAAGTTCCCTTACCTCTTTCCACCCAGCAGAGCAGCAGCAGCGAGGTGCCTCCCTCTCACTGAGTGGGAAGCGGTTCAGTTAGCAGTGGTTCTGAGGTGATCGACAGCCTAAAGCCCCTTATGAATGGATGGGAACTTCACCCATTCACAAGTGGCTCCAACTGTCAATCAATCGCAATTTGACTCTTCCCATCTCCATCCTGGAGCCACTCGTGGTGCATCAGGTGATCCAGCGGTGACCAGGGTGACATTTTGTCTGGATTAACACTCAAACAAATATTACATAGGTTGGATGTCGGGTGAGGACATGACTCCTCTATGATGTTTTCCATTGAATAACCTGCTCACACTCATCGTCAAAACTTGCACATGAATAATGGTCCTTTGGGTGAGGTATTAAAACAATACCACAGTGAAGGATTATGGAGCTGAACTCAAATCAATAGTTTAGATGAAGGGAGACAATTAGAGGATTTTTTTTCTTACTCTGCAGCAACCTCCGTTATTGGGCAATATCCATGATGCTGCACCTCAGGTGCTGTACTTTCTTCAGCATTCTCTGTGCTTTTAACATCCTGTAAAGTGGAAAAGATATCTTACTGAAACAGACATTCGATTTCACCTAATCTTAACAACTGATTACTTCATAGTAATGATGTTATGAATAATGACACTATGAATAAACAGATGCATTGTAATTTCTTGCAGATAATAATAATAATCCTTGCATTCGATATAGCGGTTTATAACATCTTCGAGACATGTGAAAGCGCTTCACAGAATATACTGTAAAGTGAATTGACTGTATTTCTTGTGGCTAAACATGGCCACCAATTGTGCACAGCAGTGTCTCACAATCAATCATGGAATGAGTAACCAAAATTTATTATTTTTAAAAAAAATGTTTATTACCCTCCGGAAAAGCAATCCGTCAATCAACTAACAACCTAGAAACATAGAAACAGGAGTAGGCCATTCAGTCACTCAAGCTTGTTCCCCAATCTTTAAGATCATGGCTGTGTACCTCAAGCCCTTGCAATCTATCCCTTAATACCCTAACCTAACAACCGGATGCCGATTTACTGCTCGGTAAACATAGCCTTGTGGAGTAAGGAACTTGCCTTAGGTTTCGCCCTGCCCGGGAATCAAGCCCAGGTCCTCTCACTTGCGAAGCGAGCGCTCTAACCACTAAGCTACAGGACTCCACATATAATCTAAAAGTAACTATTTCTAAGTGTCTTGGTGTGTTGGACTCTTAGCTGGACTACAATTCGATTTACTTGACATGTAACATTACATCAGCTGACATAAAGGGATTGGAGTAAATATTCAAGGGTCTCCTGGACCAAATCCATTTATTTACTTCACCTCTGGGTAAGAGCCTTGTAAGAGCCTGCAGCGCCACTAGCAGGAATACACAAGTACTGCAGTTATTTTCAAAGTGTCAATCATTGTGTATTGTACATATTACTGTACTGTACAAAAGACATTTTCAATACATATTATGTGTATTGTACATATTACTGTACTGTACAAAGACATCTTATAAACCTTGTAAAACTAAGTCCTGCATCCAAACTTGCTCAATTGGTACAGCATCTTTTTTTTTAATCAGTGCAAATTAAAAAATATATTCACTCAGCCACTATACTTTCCAATTTCATTTCATTACCAACAGGTGCAACTTACAGAAGAGGGGATGTGTGTAAAAGCTATGAAACTACATTATGGCGAAAACCTTGTCTACAAATACAGTCATTAAAATTCACAGTAAATCCTGTGAAGTACATTGGCGTGTCCTTCCAATGTGAAAAGCACTATATCAAATTATTTTTATTATTAAATGCTCTACTGTGGTGCTGTCTGCAACATCCAGTTACTTTCTTCTCCTGTTTTCATATTACTCCCAGGTCATCATTGCCCAGAGTTCTATTCACTGGCTCCAATTGGAAAACAATCTAATGATGAAAAGTAGAGTGGAACAGTCAGCAGTTTCCTATTTGGCTACAAAAGCAGTCAGCACCACACTGGACAGGAATTACTGTAGAGTGGCTTCTTTGAGACTTTGATAATAATAATAATCCTTGCATTTGGTAATAATAATAATTCTTGCATTTGATATAGCGCTTTTCACGTCTTCTCGACGTCTCTTTCACATCAGAAGGACAAATCAAAGCCCTTCACAGGATATAATTCAAAGCAATGAGATAAGGCACTTTGAAATGCAAGCTTTCTTTTATCCCCATGAACAAGCACTCGAGCGCTCTGGGACGCTACCCTGCGTGAGGGGTGATATATAAATATAAGTTGTTGCTGAAGTTGTTGTTAACAGAAATGAAAAATGAAATGAAAAGTCTGAATGCAGTCTGATGCTTGAAATTCATATTAAATGTTTAAGCTGGCATGCATCACCCGAAGCTCAAGAACACCTTTCCCCATCGTTGTGCCGAACATCATTGCAGTGTCAACTCAGCAAATTGATACCGCAGGTCTGGAGCTTGAAGAGCACCAAGGATCAAAGATCAATGTTTTTCTGAATGCAAAACCCAATAAAGTGCACTTGAGGGACACAGGTTTCCTAAATGAATTAAATAACTAGTTAATTCATCAAAACAAAGACAAGTATCCATAATAAAATACTGACTTCAATGTGCTCTCGAGATTTGCTTCTAGATTTCAATTTTTTCTGTCCTCTTCGGGTCTTCTCATCAATCCTCTTGTCACCATAGGATTTTAAGATCATGTCCAGCTCCTGCTCGCATTGGTATGCATGCTTCAAGCCATTTTCTTTCACTGGGAAAAAATGTTCATTTTACTAATCTTAGTATACTCGTTACAGACCAGATCTGAATCCTTAACACTTTCTTTGAAAGCATCATTTAATGAAAGCGCTTTTAAAAGTACCAGTATGCAACCATTACGTGCGGCTGAGCTGAGATATAATACATCATCTCCAGAGGTTAAGGTCAGCGTTCCAAACAAATGGTAAAGTGAATCCAAATGACATCTCAGACCAGAAGTAGATTTTAACCAGCTATAAAGCATTTTAAAATAACGTAATCTAAAGATATTTATCCTAATAAAAAGGAAATGACAAGACAACTCTTCTTTTAAGCTTCGTAATCCCTTCACCTTCCCTCCTCTCTCGGTTTTCAAATCCTACCTGAAGACCTAACCTTACGCCTTAGGTTGAGGTTTCAATCAACATGAAAGATGTTGTATAACAACAACTTTCATTCAGATTTTCGAGACTGAGGTGTATAGGTATTTGTTAGGTCAGGGTATTAAGGGATATGGGGCAAGGGCGGGTAATTGGAATTGAGGTACAGATCAGCCGTGATCTTATAGAATGACGGAACAAGCTTGAGGGGTTAAATGGGCTACTCCTGTTCCCATGTTCCTAGGTAACTACATTCCATAGCACCTTTCACATTAGGAGGATGTCGCAAGGTGCTGGACAATCAAGGATTTGGACCTAAGCTGGGGATTCGGATCAGGTGGAGGGCAGTGAGGGTAGGCGTAGAAGTATGTGTATAAGTGTGCAATGTTGATGTTGTACAATAAAGTCCCTATTGGTAATCTGCACTAAGTGAATCTTGTCAGTGCAAGGACTGAAGAAAGCTGCATACACTCATGTCATCACTAATGCCAACTACAAGCAGTTGAATTGAAACATTATAGAAAAAAAATGGATGGGGGGAGGATTAAAAAGCATAAAACTAGTTTGCAAAACCCACAATATATCTGTGTCTATGAAACCGCTTACCTTCACAGTGATGAATAACTCTTTCCCATAGTTTGTTGCTCCTAAGGCAGTTCAGGTTGCCCACTATCTGCAAGTGTCTCTTCCCTCTAGTAAGTGCAACGTTCATACGCTTCTCGGAGTCTATAAACCCAACCTGATGTGTCCTTACACAGGACAAGACAATAATCTCCTTCTCCGCTCCCTGAAAAGCATCCACTGTTGATACCTGAATAGCTTTCATCTCAGCCGGCTCACAATCTGCAGAATTGTTGAGTAATGCACACAACTGTGTGTATAAAACAAGAATTGGAAATTAAACTGCTGAAACAAGTGGTGTTTATTGGAACTTGTGAGTGAGTGTGAAGGTTTTAAGGTCAATGACAATTATTGTAATACTTGACTGCATTTTTAGTAAATATATATATAAACACACACACATACACACAGGTACATATGATTAACAAAGCTAGTTACATTTTGACTTCAAACCAAACCTTTGTAGCCTTATTATAACCATATCCTGAAAATCAGAATGTAAGGGTCAGAATGAACACATGAGCACTTTGCTTAACCTTTTGACTGCTGCAATAAGAGATTGACAGTAGAAACAAAAACTAAAAAATTATAGTATGCACAAAACCCATTTTAATAAATGGAGTTAATAGGATATGAGAAAGATTATCCACCCAGAATACGATAGTCGTTGATCTTTGTATATAGTTGATCTTCAGTACACATTAAAGTAGGATCATCTCTGAGGAGTTATTTTCTTTCCACCCTCACCCCCGCCGCCGTTTGCATAGAGTATAGGCAAGTGCTCAATTATTTTTTAATGGGGTCTATAAACCCAACCTGATGTGTCCTCACACAGGACAAGACAATAGAGGAACAATTCAAATGCTGTAGTTTTCTACAGTACAAACACAAAACAAAAAAATGACATTTCTTACCTTATGCATCTGAGATTTGTACAGTGTTATCACCCCAATCATAGATCCTTCAATCCCACTAGCTATCAGGGACTGGATAAGTTTCACAGTGAATGCTGCTTCCTCAGAATTGTGAAAGCTACTATCTCGTTCCACCTAGAGGGAATGAAGTTATAAAACATTTAAAATTTGCACTGGCACTGCTAGTACTTGTGAGAATCTCTTTCAATGTTACATTTTTGCAGTTTATTCTTTTTTTAAAATGAAAATTTACCAAAAGGAATATAGTCTGATCACTGACGTCAGTATGTGATAGAGAAAATATTTTTGGAATAATACTATGAAGATTTTGTGCGACCAATAATAATAACAATATTGCATTCGATATAGCAGTTTATCACATCGTTGAGACATCTCAAAGCTCTTCACAAGATATACAGTAAAGTGGATTGACTGTTAAATAAATAATAAATACATAAAATTATTAAATAATTAAAAATAAATCATTAAATAAATGAATGTGAAATGGGTGCTTCAATCCAACCATGGAGAAAAGGTTCCTGACTGAACCAGCGTGTTCAGCAGGTTTTCGAATCTGCATCAAACATTGGTTAAATAATTCTAATAATTACATTTGATATAGTACCTTTCATGTCGAGATGGTGTCTCAAAGCACTTCACAGGATTGACTGGAAAGTGGTGTGACTGTATTTTTTGTTGGGGGCGAAATACAGAGTAAAGCTTCTGCCTTTCTACCAAACAACATGCCTTGATCCCAATCTTGAAATGTATAACTGTGCAGCACAGTACTTGTCCAGATTGGACTGTTTTACCCAATAGGTCTTTTACTTGCAGGATTCAAGATATATCTACATCTCTAAATCTGCTTTGGATTACTCTGCACCTGCCTGGTTTCCCCGGCATACCTTCTCAAATCTTGTTCAGCTCCAGGGAGACCCCACTTTGCCTCCCCTCTCCCCAATGAAGATTTGTTTTAAAGATATTTGTACTCATCTTATCAACCTCAAAAGGGTGAACGGTTGATTTAAACACAGAACCTACCAGCTCAAATGAATGAGCTAAATATTTTGTTTCCCCCAAGAGTATAAGTGTAATACAGTGTATTTCTAGTGCTTACTTCAGCCATCCTGTGACTTTTTTGGTGAGACTGCCAATCATGAGCAGTTTTGTGCTCAAGGCCACAAGCAATGAAGTCGAGACTGCCTGATGCATTTTGCATCAGATACTTACAGTTGACACAGAGAAAGAGTGAAATCAGATTCAAACAATAATGAAACAACAGAGTGCAAATTTACTATTCAGCTCTTAAATTGGAGCAATCCATCATTTCTACTGTTAACAGAAATGTTGCTTTCATTTATTGTTTGTTCTGAATTTCACACATGTAGCCTCTTTGTGCTTTTACAATAGCGTGTATTTATTTTAACAAAGTGCACTACTAAAGAAAAGGGTTGTCTTCACAAAATCCTCATGTGGTTTCAGGTCAAACAAACATACTGTACCAAGAGGTGTCTCGGTTGAGTAGCCACATTATAGCACCCAAACACTTTTCTAACATCTCTATTCATGTTAAAAATGCCAGATTTGGTCATCTTTTAGTCACGAAAGGTTTCAGCTGGGTAATTCAAAGGCTGAACTTCTGACCTCTGAAAGGAAGAATGTCTCGCAGTAGTTTTGTATGCTTTATTGCCAAGTGGTGTGTCTGTGCTGTGCGGTGCCATAGTGTGCGTGGCTTTGTGCCCATTTCCTCACATGGCAAGTTTCCAATCTCAATTTATGAAAGTGTGGGCAGAGGCAAACGACTGTCAAGTGAACTCCCACAGGGAGGAGGAAGGGCTGTAGATCAACCCCAGCCACTCATGCAAGCCTTCTCGCAGCTGGTTTGGGCATTAACAACAACAACAACAAAATTACATTTGTACAGCACCTTTCGCGTCGGGAGGACGTCCCAAGATGCTGGACGGAGTTACGGACCCGAGCTGGGGGTCGGGTTGGGGGATGGTGGAGGACATGGGGGGAAGCAGGGAGATCGAAAGCACGTTTTTGCATTTCTTCCTGCTCAGCACACAGATCTTAGCACAGGAGGGAGGGGGGGGGGGGGGGAAGAAGAGACTAAAAAAAAGTGGGAGGAAAAACAATGCATTTCTTTGAAACACAAACCCTGATAAAAAAAATAGTTAAGAGGCAATTTATTGGGTTTTCAGACAGGCTGCATGAACGACTAATTACTACAAGACAAGTAGTAGAAGAAACAATCTGAGGTGAATGTGCCAGAACTTTTGTTCTCCTCTTGTGCTGCTCACTGAACAGTTTGTAACTTTCCGTTGGAATTGCTTTTTTTAAAAAAGCATTTTTAGTGTTTTTAAACTCTAAGCTGTCATAACTGAGAGGAAGCAAAGTGGGATCGCTGCCTGTTCAGGTGGATGTTAAATTTCCCACTATTACAGAAAGAAAAGGAAGCTTCTCCAAGTGTCCTTGTCAACAGTCCTCTAGATTAAAAGAAATTGGCATTCATTTCATCACAGTATTGTCAAAAACACTGAAATGATCAGCAAGAGACATTTCCCCCTCTCTCCTCTCAGTAAGGGATCAAAATACCAGAAGCAAAGCAACTTCTCTATATTTGACATGAAAATCAGTTATGGTTTATAGTTTAATAAATGCATTTTCCATATTAAGCCCTCTCTGGTCTCGCTCTCAAAATCACAAATGAACAAGTGAGCAACCTTGGCATCTGGTTTAATCCTTGGCTCTCCTTTCTCCCTTATACTCTGACCTAGGCTGTTTTCCTCACCTCTGCTACATCACCCACTTCGATCCCTATCTCACATCAAATGCCGCTGAAAGACTTATTCTTGCCTTCATTGCCTGCTGCTTAAGACTTTTCTAATGCACTCCTTGCTGGTCTCCCTAGCTCCACCATCCATAAGCTCCAATTCATCTAAAACTCCCCCATTGTATCCTTACCCTTAGTAACCCTGCACACACCTGAATCCTCTCCAAGCTCCACTGATTTCCCAACTCCCAGCGGATCAATTTGAAGGTCACCATCATCTATAAATCATTTCATTTACTAGCACTTCCACATCTCTCTGATCACCTTTTCCACTCAGCTACCTCAGGCTCGCTGCATGTCTTCAGACTCTATGCTCTTGCATTGGGGAACTCCCTCCCTCTACCCTTCTGTCTGTCTTGGTTTCTCTCTAACTAAGTCCCGCCTTACAATTTACTTCTATGGCCTCATCTTTGTCCCCTCCTCCTTCCCCCCTCTGTCTTGCTGTATCTGACACGGTCTTTGTACAGAGTTCCAAGACATTATCCCACATGAAGGGTGCCATATAAATGCAAGATCTGTTGAAAAAGCAGGTAAATGGAAACATTTGGATTGCTCTTTTTAAGTCATATAGTGTGAAATTGCAGTCAGAAACCTGCGTTCTACCACCCCACTGCACAGTAGGTTTACCTTACAATGATGACTAAAATCAGTGTTCTTTCCACTGGGTCGTTGTAATAAAGGGAATAAAGACACAGCAAAAGGATTGCTATTTTTAGCGATCAGCGTGAAATAGACCCCAGTGTGTTGGGCTGTCAATCAACGGCGCAATAACAGCGCAATATTTTCAAAATGACATGCCCTTATTTTACTTAAATGCTAGATTCTCTCTTAGGGACCTCCTCCACACCCCTGTGGGTTTTTCTTCAATGCAGCTGACTGTCTCGGGAAAGGCATTTTCATTTAATTTCCTCAGTAATACCCTTGAGCTGGCACACAACACGCCCGGGACAATTCAAAACATAATGGCACTTGCAGACATCCTTCCTGCTCAATTAGCAGAGCCACAAAGCCCTGAGGTGTGATGGGAAAGCTCAGAGGTGTGATGGAAAGGTCAGGAGTGTGAATGATGTGGAGGATAATGGGTGAACGTTTAATTTCAGCATGTCAGACAGCATCAAAGACATTAGGACTGTTAACTATTGATTTCCCAACAGGTATTGAAATGGCCTTGATTAGCTTTGTATTCTGCAGCGAAACACGCTTCAGTTCAAGCATAATAGGTACGACGGCCGATCCGTCACATTTGCCAGGTTTGTAGACTGTATCGTTCTGAGAAGCAAACTGCAAGAATGCTAATTAAATGAAGCTACTTTATATATAAAAACTCAGTACATGAAGTGCACGAGAATGAATATCAGGTGTAAACGTTTGCGTGGGGTGGTGGTATAGACTCTTAAGGAGTGTTGGGGATTCTGGCAGGAGTTCAGAAAAGCTGCTGGTCCCACGAATGGCAAATTTAAATATTAAATGATCGACAGATGGTCAGATTGACATTGCGCTCTGCTGAGGCTCCTCGCTTCTGTCACCTATTCCACTGCCATCCACCTGCTAACTGCTTCCAAAAATTGTTTAACCAAACCACATCCAGCAAAATGCCTTCTGGACACATTTTTTAAAAAAAAATCATGCAGTAAACAGCTTGTTCTGCAATAGAAAGAATGAGTATGGTCAGCAGCAGAAGTGGCTCCAAGCTCAGATTCCAGGAGAAATATTTTGCCTCCTCAAACCACACCCCCCCCTCGGCCCGGCCTCATTCCATATCCTTTCAGGAGAATACGCTCACAAGCAATTCTGACTCAGACCAATAACACAATACATAGCTTTGGTGCTGAGCTTTCAGTTAAGATTCAAAACTGCACCCCCACCCCCCTCACCCCACCCAAATTAAAGGAATGAAATCAAAAAACACCACCTCTCAAGGGAAGGGAACAAACCTCATCAATTGAAGCAGAGGGTTTAAAATCTTCATGGCCTTATCCCTAACAATTAAGATTGGAGAATTTCAGAAAATTCTCGAGCACAGTCTTAATTTTGAAATCTGCTTTCTGTAATTCTTAAAATGAAACTACAGAAAATCAGCACCAAAAAACTCTCAATTTATGACTTTTCCAAAATTCTGGACATTCTTAAAGAGTCGTAAGAATTTTCAGAACAGAAGATCATTCACCCCATTATGCCTGTGCTCTCTGCCTTTTCCTCCCCTATTCTTTTGTTTTTCCTTTTCAGATGATTAACTAACTCCTTTTTAAAAGTTATTAGAGATTCGGCGTATTTTTTGGTGCAGCGTTCGATTGGATAATTTACTCCTGTGTGTGTGAAATCTATGCAAAAACCCCACATGCTTTTACACATTAAAATTGCTGCTGGGCTCAACAGAACATTTACCTGCTCACGTCCCTTAACACTGTAAAAGCACAGAGTAGGTAACCAATCCAGCAGAGGAGTTCGATCTGAAGCAGAAACACCATCCATAAGCAGTCCATCATAGAAAAGTTCATTGGTTATCGCACTTATAGAAGGATGACATCTGTATTGAGTTCTAAGCAGGATGGGCGTATGTCCCTAAGGAAGGGGTGAAAAACATAAAAATTCTAAAATAAACACAGGACGTAGTTGCATTATAAAAATACTAAACATTTCTGCCTGAACACTGGCTTTCTGGTGTGTATGTTAAGATGGAGCTAATCTTTTTTTTAAAAATCGAACCAGAGATAAACAAATACTTGAGAGCAGTGATAATCATTGCTCAAGCAGCTACACATCATCTAAACAAGAGTTCACTCATTCCCTGGAGAGGTCATGTGCGATTGGCAGGAGCAGCACACATCACAAACTCAAGGATGGTGGCAGCTGGCATTGCAGTGTGCAGATTCCACAGCCGATACAGTATGGCACAGACAGCAGACTTCACAGATAAAACCGTGTGAACCCAGATAGGAGATGCTGCAAATTGCACAGGAAACATAATTGGGATTGTAGGCACACTTGGGACAGTTTGCACAGATGGTTTGGCTGGCTGGAGGACACATAGTAATCATGACTTGTGCAGTTGGCACACAGCAGCTAATATGCAAAAATACAAGAGATTTGCAACATCCTACACTTCAGTACCTGCACTACATTAATACAGAAATGTAACTTTAAATAAATGGGAGAACTTTCACACAGCAATATATTTATCAAAACTGACAGATCATTGAATTTCAATGCAGTAAAAAATATATCCTCCTCCTATAGTGGCATAGTTCTAGGGTACATGGACTAGAAAATGCAGGTGTGAATCTCATTTTGTGCTGAGTTGGCTGATCTCAGTTGTTATGGTCAGTGCTATAGTTCATAACACCAAACCTCAGTAGAAGGAAAAAAAGTCAAACACATTGAGGGGGAAAGAAAATTTAGAAAAAAAAACTCCTTCGAGCAAAGGCTAATCACAATTACATATATATTAAAGTTAAAGTAACTCCTGTACCATCAAGCACATTCTGTCAAAGAGGGTTTGTTCCAGTCCAGCTTCGTGAGCACTATCAGAGCCTTGGATCGTGGGTTGCAATTGTTTAGGATCTCCAACAAGGATCAGTTTTTCACATCCAAACCTACAAACAGAAACTTTGGTATGATTCATAAAAATTATAGTGCAGAAGGTTATTAGGCCCAAGTGTGGCAGCCTGGCTCATTTGGCAACAATTTCACCTCTGAGGTAGAAAGTTGTAGTTCAAGCCCCACTTGGGATTTTGAACTCATAGTCTAGACAGGCAATCCAATGCAGTGCTGGAGGTGTGCTGTCGAAGGTGATATCCTTCAGGTAAGACACTAAACTTGAGCTCGCGGCTGCCTGTTCAGGAAAACATTAAAGATCTCATGGCGCTGTTCAAAAAGTGAATCAAGCAAGTTGTCTTGGCCAACAATCCCCCAAATAAAATTGGTATTTTACTTCATAGCTGCTTGTGGGACATTGTGGGCAATTATCTTTATGTCCTGCAAAATACCTGGCAATAGGAAGAAGGGAAGATGGCTCCGTCATCTGACTGCACTCATCAAGCACCACCATAGGAAAGCTCAGGTTGTTCAAACACTGGAAAGGACAGGCAGCGCAGGTTACTCCTACCACTCGCACCTGCATGTAAATGAAAACAAGAGTATATGGGTCTGCCAATGATAATGTGATAAGAGGGGATGCATTCAATAGGAAGTTAAAACCTTCACATGAGGCAGAGGGGAATAGAAGGGTAAGGGAGGGAGTAAGGAGTGGGTGGAGATTCATGTGGAGTATAAACACCAACACAGACTGTTTGAGGCGAGTGGCCTGTTTCTGTGCTGTAAATCTTTGCAAAGATATCAACAGATTCAGCTATACAAATCTAAATTTTGCATATCAGGTTCAATTCCTAATCCGTGTTCAATCTACGTAAAGTAGCAATAGGCTTCTACAGTTGTGCTGTGCTCACGGGCTCATGCTCATGGTTCCTGGGAAGACATCACTGCCCCCATCTCCTCACTGAGCCTCACCGGCCCAGCGGGCTAACCATGGCTCGCTGAACACTCCTGTCTGCTCCGAGTCTCAGCATGCGCACGTTGGCTGCCGCAATTGACCCGAGCTGTTTCCCCAAGATGTTCCCGACCCTGTCCCCTTCCCTCCACTACTCATACTCAACCCTCCTCTCCCTCCGCCTCCCCCGACTCCTATGCCTCCTCGACTCCCCCAGGTCTTCCTCTGCTCCTCCCTTCACATTCTTCGTCATGCCTACCGTGGTAGACGCTGTCGGCTGTCCTACAGCACCCATCCTGACTGTCCCTTCCCCCACTCTCGCCCCAAGGCCCACCGGCCCTCACTCACGGGAGCCAACCTTTCCTCCCTCACTCACATCCCCATCCAACCCACCTGCCCACCCACTCCCACCCCTCATCCCCCCCACGCTCCCACCACTAACTGTCCCTCCGCATCGGACTGTCCCTTACAATTCATGACCTCATGGTCAAGGAAAATATCGACATCCTCGCCCTCACCGAAAACTGGGTTACTCCAGGCGACACCTTCCCACTGGTTGAGGCCACACCTCCAGGTTACACCTTTCACCAAACCCCACGGCCTAATCGCCGTGGCGGTGGTGTGGCTCTCATCTCCCGGTCCCCCCTTAGCCTTTCCTTTTACTCCTCTGGAACCTTCCCCTCCTTTGAATACCTTACCCTCTATCACCCCTCCAGACTTTTCTTCAAAATCCTCCTTGTTTACCGTCCCCCCAAGCCTTCCCTCACTTTCCTCTCAGACACCTCCACCCTCCTATCTTCCCTCTCCCTCTGCTTTGAACGCCTCCTTATCTTAGGTGACTTCAACCTCCACTTCACCCCTCCTGCTCTACCTCTGCTGTCTTCTCCTCCCTCCTCTCTTCCCTCAACCTCTCCCTCCTCATCCACTCCCCCACCCACGTCCGTGGCCACCCCCTTGACCTGGTGATCACCCGGGGCCTCACTGTCTCGGACATCACCATTGTCGATAAAGCCATCTCGGACCACCACTTCATCTCCCTCAACACCTCAGTACCCCTTCCCCCTTCCCAATCCTCCACTATTACATACCCTCCATGGAAAAAAAATTCCTCCCTCTCCCTCTCCACTGCCCTGGAGTCATCTGAACTCCTACACCTCTGGCCCTCACTGACCGATCTCCCCTCCTCACTCTCCTTTCTCCACAACTCCCTCTCCTCCATTCTGGACTCCCTTGTCCCCCTCACCTCCCGAACTGCCTCATAAGTACCCCTGTACACCAGCCATCTCTGTTCCCTCAAGGCACAAGTGCGAGCTGCCGAACACGCCTGGACCAAATCCAAACTAACGGTCCATCGGCAGATTTGGCTTCACCACACCAAGATCTACCGCTGCGCTCTTGCCTCTGCCGAATCCTCCTTCTATTCCAAGGTTATCTTGGAGGCAAAGGACAACCCCAGGCTTCTCTTTTCCACCACTAACCATCTCCTCCATCCACCTTCCCATACCTTGTCCATCCTCTCCTCAAACTCCAACTGTGAGGAGATGCTGGACTTACTTGAATCTAAAATCGAGGGGATACATTCAGCCACCTCAGCCCCGTCCACAGCCACCCCCACATCACCTCTCCCTCATGACCCACCCCCCACCCATCCCCCCCTATACTCCTTCGACCCTATCTCTCCCTCCTTCCTCACCACAACTGTCCGCAAACTCAAACCCACCACCTGCTCCCTTGATCCCATCCCCACCTCTCTCCTTGTCTCCCAGCTACACCTTGTGGCCCCCCTCCTGTCCGATGTCATCAACCTCTCCCTGTCCACTGGTTCAGTTCCCACCGCCCTAAAAACAGCTGTCATCACCCCCATCCTGAAGAAACCTTCCCTGGATCCATCCCTCCTCTCCAGTTACCGCCCCATCTCTAACCTCCCATTCCTCTCCAAGGTCCTGGAATGAGTCGGTGTGTCCCAGCTCCGCTCCTTTCTCTCTCGCCATTCCCTCTTTGAACCCCTCCAATCCGGCTTCCGTGCTGCCCACACCGCCTCTCCGCTTTACTCAATCTTCACGGACCTGCCCTTGCCTGGTTCGATTCCTATCTCTCTCACGTCTCCACTTAGTTGCCTCCAACGGTTTCTCCTCCAGCCCCTGCACTGTCACATCTGGCGTCTCCAGGGCTCTGTCCTTGGCCCTCTCCTTTTTTATATCCACATGCTCCCCTTTGGTGACGTCATTTTCAATCTACGACTGTTTGGGGGACATTGCTGTGCGCAATTGGCTGCCGCGTTCGCCCACAAATATACAGTCAATTCACTTTACAGTGTGTTCTGTGAAGCGCTTTGGGATGTCCTCCCGACGTGCAAAGCGCTATATCAAATGCAAGGATTATTATTATTATTATCTTCCGCAGACATGAGGTCAACTTTCATATGGATGACCCCAACTCTATCTTTCTGCCTCCACCCTCAACCCCAGGACCACTGCTGTCCTGACAGACTGTCTGTCGGACATCAAGTCCTGGATGAGGGCAAATTTCTTACAGTTGAATGTGAACAAGACTGAGGCCCTCCTGATTGGCTCACGCCAGCGCCTCAGCACCTCAGACTCTGGCAGCATCAACCTCCAAGGATGCACATTGCAACTCACCAAACCAGTCAGGAACCTGGGTGTCTTTTTCAACCCTCAACTGTATTTTCTCCGCAACATTCAAGTCATGACCCCTCTGCCTTCCTTCACCTCCGTAACATCGCCTGACTCCGCCACTACCTCACCCCTCAGGCCGCTGAAACTCTTGTTCATGCCTTCATCACCTCCAGGCTCCACTATGCAAACGCACTGCTTGTCGGCCTTCCCAACTCCTCCCTCTACAAACTGCAGATAATCCAGAACTCTGCAGCCCGTGTCCTCTCCCGCACCAAACTCCGTGACCCCATCTCCCCCACTCTCACCCGACTCCACTGGCTCCCTATCCTTCAGAGGATCCAGTTCAAGATCCTGGTCCTCACATACAAAGCCCTCCATGGCCTCGCCCCATCCTACCTCTGCGACCTCCTAACCCCCTACCAACCCGCCCGTTCCCTCCACTCTGGCCTGCTCCATGTCCCTCCGACCCACCCGCCCCACCATTGGCGGGAGAGCCTTCAGCCACTCTGTCCCCAGTCTCTGGAATTCCATCCTCCAGTCACTCCATCTCGCCCCCTCTTTAGCCTCCTTCAAGTCCCGCCTCAAGACCCTCCACTACGACCATGCCATCGGCCAACCCCCTTACCCTCCCTTACCCCCCGCAACCCCAGTTCGGGTCTGAAATGCTGTACTCTGTCCAGCACCTTGTGATGTCCTCCCGACGTGAAAGGCGCTATACAAATGTAATCTTGTTGTTGTTGTTGTTCCTATTCCTGATCACTAACCAGACACCCCACTCCCAAAGGTGTGAATATGGAAGTCAATGAGGGTAGAATTTGATTCCACTGAGATTGAGATGGTTCCCTTGACTGAAAAGCATGTTGACACTTTTTGTCGAGGCTCACACATAAATAATGGCCACCTGGATGAGGTACTGGAGGAAGCCATAAATTGTACCCAACAGAAGAGAAAATGATTCAAAACACATCGAGGAGAATAAGAAGTTGGCTGGAAAAAAAGGAACGAAGAGAGAGAAAACACAAAATAAAAGAAAAAAGGCATGACCTAGCAAACATAAGTAAAGTTATTAAAGTGTTATTTCCAGTGAAAGATGTTTTTCAAATAGTGGGTTACAATGACAACAACAACAACAACAACAAGATTCCATTTATAAAGCGCCTTTCACGTCAGGAGGACGTCCCAAGGCGCTGCACAGTTGGTCAATAATCATGACCCGAGCAGGGGGGAAATGGTCAGGGTGAGGGGAGGGAAGGGAGGGAGCGAGGAGGGGGGAAATGGTCAGGGTGAGGGAAGGGAGGGAGCAAGGAGGGGGAAATGGTCAGGGGGAGGGAAGGGAGGGAGCGAGGAGGGGGAAGAGAGTCGAGAGGGGAGCTGAAGGCACGGTCAAAGAGAACAACAACTTACGGTCAATGACAACAACAACTTACATTTATAAACCGCCTCTCATGCAGGGTAGCTTCCCAGAGTACTTGGCATTAGGATTAATAGTATAGTAATAAAGCTTTCACAATGTTCAATTAGTTTCATGACTGTAATATCATTGGTTGTTTTATTTTCAATGCATGTGCTGAAATCATTCAGATCTGGGAGTCGCTGCAAGCCTGCTGGAACTCGAAGAGTTAATCCATAGACAGACGTAGTGGTGTCTGAAAATATAGCAGCAGCAATAATCCCCCAAACCAGATTGCCTCAGAACCTCAGCAATTTGTTAGTAACTCCACTAAGAACGTGGCTTCGGGAGACTCAAGCGCTACTTCGAGTTGATGAAAGCCTTTGCTATTGAAAGGATTAGTTTGATTGAACACAACTACGCAGCTCTCACCTCTCTGAGCATTGCTTTGTTCCTGCCCAGTTTGTGCTGCTCAATGCTCTTTCTCACGTGCACTTTCTCCACGGGCGTCAAATCCTCTTTGAGAAGTGCCTGCAGCTCTCGCAATTCTTCATTATCACTGCCTGCGTGCAGACTAATAAAACAAATATTAGCTGTAGTTCTGCACGGAATATCTTTCAAGCCTGTGAGCAATGACAATCTAGCGAGTTCACATCTCAACCTCAATCTGCATGGGACGGGGCTGGGTTCATCCCAGAGAGAAAGAAAGCAGAAAAATTGAGGGCCTCAGTCATCTGGGAACTCTCCTTCATTGATCTACCATCAGGAGCAGAAATTCAATTTAGTTCTACACCTAGATTATTTCAACATTTTGAAGCATGCAAAAACCTTAAATTCAGCATTATTTTTGAAGCCTTATTTTTTGCAGTTCATTTAGGTTGCAACTGAAAAATCACTTCCTGAGATAGGACTGAATTTAAAAATTGACCAAAACTTGCACTGTGCGAAAAGTTAACAAAGTAGTCTGGGTCAAGAACTGTGTGGAATTTCTGGCTCAATTATAATTTACTAAATAATAACAATCCTAGCATTTGGTATAGGACCTTTCATGTTGGGAGGACGTCTCAAAGCGCGTTACAGGATTCACTGTAAAGTTTAGTGACTGTATTTTCAGTTGCAACCTAAATGAACTGCAAAAAATAAGGCTTCAAAAATAATGCTGACTGTAGGTAAACTACTTTCTCAGTTATAGTTAAGCAGCTTGTCAGTAGGTAACACTCAATTAGCCAGATTCTGATATAGTAATGTTTTGCTACGGAAAAGGGATTCATTGTAATGTAATGCACAAATGACCCTAGATTTTGTGCTTACCTGTATGGCAAGATGGGTTTGGCTATTTTACGAATACTTCCAACTCTGATAAATCGATCAAATCCTAAATTCAGAAGCCTAAACACAACAAAAAAACATTTTTTTCCATGCCAAATAATTCCTGTATTTGGTAATCAACAATATGGCTGGCGCTGTAAGAAGTGTTTTAAAATTAAAAAGCAAAACAACAGGTGCAGTGAGTGAAAGCATTGGTGCAGTGGGTGAAAGCATTGCCCAAAAGGTGGAGCCCCAGACTGTTTCTTTGGGGTCAACCAGGTCACCATGAAACCTATCTCCAACCATAAGAGTATTCAAACCAAACAGAGTTCCACGTGTATGCCACTCACATTGAAATTGATGTCTAGAATGCTATGTGTACTCTCTCTCTCTTTCTGGAGAAACAGCTCCTGCTTACCTAATTCCATAAAGTATTTTTTGCTCTGATTGGCAAAAAAAGAAGGCTTGAGGACACAAGTGTATGTTGGTGAAGTGTTGGAGTTTAATAAGCTAAACCACATAGCTTGCCATCAGAAACATTGTGTGGCAAGCTTTCTGCTACTTTTCCAGCTGTGACTAACCACCCTTTCTTCAGGGATTTGGCTTGCAGATTTAACATGAGCTGAGTGGGAACAAGATACTGTTGATGACGGACCAGCCAGCTTGGCAGGCCTTGGAGAGGCAAACAACCAATGGGGAGGACAGTATTCTTCCTACTCAGCTCCTGTCAATCCTGCTTATTTGAGTGAAGGGAGTTAGCCCAATTTTTTCCAACCTCTACACGCGCCTTATATAATGGTATCTGTAAAAGGTTTGAAGGGAACAGAAGATTAGGCCTTTTGAGAGACCACATTGGCCACACTGTAGTATCACTCACCCAAGTAGCACTCTATCCACAGCGACGTTGGTGGATGAAGAAATGAGAAGTTTCCACGGGACCTGCCTGGGACCCTCCACACATTCACTTTCTTCAAAAAGTTGACTAAGAAATAAAACCACAACAGCCAACAGGTAGCTCTTCCCAGCTCCATACACACCTGAGAGGTAGACAGAGATCACAGAAATAAAGGGACTCCTTGTTTGGTTGTATTTGGAAATAAATTTATCCACAATTTTAAAATACTAAAAGTTGAATGTGCAATTTCTACAGTTGAAGGATTGAAGTTTGAAAATGTCAAAATTAAATATCTTGATCTGGTGGAGTGAGTAGATTATCATTCTTGTTAAAAGCACCAGTAAAATGTATTATATCTGATGATCTAAAGTTGCACTAACAAGCTGTCACCAAGTCCAGAGCCAGAGATATGTTACGGGGTTGAATGCTGGGCTGCACCTCAGGTCTTTCAATTGGTCACAACTGGGGTTAGGGAGGGATGGAGAAAAATCAGTCAGATATTATTGCTCCTGATCATTACAATATCCAGTGGCCCATACTAGAAGATCCAGGTTCATGAAATTTGGGATGGGATAGAATGTGAACCCAATCCCTCCACACACAAGCCAAATCAAATGCCTATCAAATGCCTTTCTTTTACCTTCTTTAGGTAAAAGAAAACTAACTCAAGCTGCCCACTTGGGGGCAGTGCACCTGTACATGATGCAGAGAGGGGAGAATCAGATGCTTCCATTCCAAAGGTCTCTCAAAAGGAGCAGCTGCCTGCCTGGAGATTTCACTGAGCAGGATCAGCTGTGGTATGAGAGGTTCAATGAAAGAACAAAAATGAAGGTTAAATTAAAGCAGAGGGGACAAAAGCAGAAAAAACCTTCTGAGCACTCCTCTTTACCATGTATGACTGTGATAGGCAGAACAGACTCCTGTGGGCTCTTGCTGCTCGCCATCATTATAGCGATTTGTCTCAAAGCAGCCGCCTGATCTGGATTCAGGTGAAACACATGCATCATCTCCATGGCCATCACAAGGGTTGTCTCTGGGCACAACAGCCTCGTCTGTGGCATTGGCCTTTTTAAGGCAGGAGAATTAAATCTTCCTCGTGCAGATCTGTTCACTGCCTCCTCACCAGTATAAGACCTGCAGATTGAAATAAATACAAGTTTTATTTTTCTGCAGGAACATCACCAGATCACAAGACAAACAAAGCACAATTTTGTGGGACATTGCTGTGCTCAAATTGGCTACCTCGTTCACCTATAAATAGGCAGTCAATAATTTACAGTAAAACACTGTTAGGTGTTTTGAAATGTTTTGACGAGGTAATAAGGCTCTGGTTATTATTTGGGGTTATTTTAATTTATTTACTTAAACAGCCTTTGAAAATGCAGAAACAAAACTCAAACTTGTTCTTCCTAATGTTAAAAAAACTGAAAATATTCAGCTCACATTATCATGTGATACATTATCGGAAATGGAAAGTCAGAGTACTTTCTATTAGAAATATTTCTCCTTCATAATGGCCACACATATACAGAGCTAACAACGACCCTAGAGACTTCCCTCCTGCCAATTCCCTTCCTCTAATAATAATAATCCTTACATTTGGTATAGTGCCTTTCACATCAGGAGAATGTCCTGAAATGCCTCTATTCACTCCTAGCCTTCTGCATTTTGAACAGCCCTGCCAGTCAAGCTGGAGTCGTCCGACTAGGTTTATTGGGGAGTTGGGATAAGTTGTTCTGAATCAGCTTCCAGGCTCATCTGATGTGTGGCACAGCTGCTAGTTTAGTGAGGAACGTTAACCAAGAAGATGCAAATGCATTTAACTTCCCTAGATTTAAGGATTTATGGCCAACACTCCTGCACTTCATGGTGTTATGGTGTGGGAGAGAATTAATTTGCTAAGATATCACTGTCTAACGTTACAAACGCACGTGAAATACGATTGTGGATTTTTACCCTCCCTTTTAAAATGTCTCCATCAAACAAAAGACTAATCTTGTTAAGTGCCTCAACATCGATCTCCAGAACCCAACTCGATAAATTAAAATCTTGTTTCCCCTCAACTCCTTTCCCGATTATCCTTTATCATAGCATTTTCCACGTTGGGGGTTAGGGAACAAGAAATAAATGGGATTTGTTTAAGGCTGAACTGGCTTGTTTGTGATATGCCTGTCAATGGAACATAAGAATCAAATAGACTCTCTGTCACAGTCTTGGTTGTCCGGTTCCTGAGCCAGGTGGGTCTGCAGTACTCCATGGCACTGATTATGACAGATCGGCCAGCCTAGCATGTTAGCAGGATTTGAAGAGGCAATCTGGGCGCAGGGATTCTTCCCACTCATCTCTGTCAATCCTACAAGCCAAGCCCTAATAGGGTAAGGTGGTCCTACCTGGACAAGCAGCAGAAGCTTGCCAGACAGTGTTTTCAATGGCAAACTATGCAGTTTTAGCTAGTTAAATTCTAGCAATATCCCAATGCACACCCTGGGGGCCCAAGCCTTGGCTCTTGACAACCTGCGCCTATTACTTTCTGGAATTAGGTAGGCAGGGTGGGCCCCTCCAGGGAGAGAGCACCCACTTCATTCTAATAAACATCTCATAGACACCCAGATGACCAAAAAGAAGACAACTGCTGGAATGACCCCATGAAACAAATTTTAGTTCACCACAGGCCAATTATTTGATTATATTTCACTATTTTATTTGAACTGTTTATCACCTTTTGATAAAAAGAGGTGCTCCCTCGCTCACCTCGCTCAAGGTCCATCTCAAGACCTTTCTTGGTGACCACGCCTTTGGTCACCTTTCCCCTCTCTACTCCCACACCCACCTTGAGTGCCAAGCATGGATTGTAAAGCACCTTGGGTCGTACTTCCGTAAATTTGTATTGTATTAAAAATATATATTATTTATTTTATTATATTATTGTAAAAGACAATTAATTTGTACTTCCTTGTATAATCACATCATTGAATTGGTTTCTTTTAAAAAAGAACTTTGATTCTACAGCAAGGAGACTAAAATTAAGCAGGGGTTCCATGTACCAGTACAGTATACATAAGTGAATGGCTTACATTTTGAGTAAATATGGCATCAAAGGAAGTGAGGCTGGATTGACATGCTCCTGCAGATTCCTCAGCGATGTAAATTCAGTGCTGGCATTGCCAACGAACAAGGCATGAACGATCACTAGCAGAACAGAGAAAATTCTGAAGATTAGTTTTGTTCAAATCCTAGATCATGTAAATGACAATGCTTAAATGGCAATAACGTCAAAAACTATTTTGATAAATTTTGTTTACAGCCATAAGCATGTGGATTCAACTTCAACTTGATATTTAAAATAATGAAGGAAGCACATACAGTAATAGGAAATAAGTATATTCTAATAATATTGCTCAGATGTCCACAGTGGGCCCAGAGAGAAACAGGAGGGTGGAAATAGGAAAATGGGTGGGGGTGGCAGCAAGGAAGGAAAGAGCAAAATCCTACACTATAATTTCTCTCCTGCACAAGACCCCACAAGCCCATCTTCCACCCCATTCTTGCTCAGCTCCAGTGATTTCCCCATCACCTAGTTGTTTGAATTCAAGATCCTCATTCCTCACGTTCGAATGGCAAAACGGCCTCAATTCACCCCAACTCTATGACCTCCTGCTGTCCTAGTAGCCCAGCCACTCCCTCTGTTCAGCAAACACTGACCTGCTTCATGTTCCCCATCCAATTCACCCAACCCCATCATTGGTAGGAGAGCTTTCAGTTATTCTGCCCTGACTCTGGAACTCCATTCATTAGTCCCTCCAACCCACCCTCTCCCTCCCACCTTCAAAACCCACTTTAATCTATCCTTTTCTCAGCACTTTGGTCAACTTTCTTCCCTCTTCAACTGTTCCCCCCTCCCACTCCACCTCCTCTCCACCCTCCCCAAGCTTGGACTTCCAGTCAGCTATCTGAAGCAATTTGAGATGTTCTACCAACATAAACACAAACATTTTGAACGTAGCAAGGCCCCACAAATAGTCAGACTGTAAATAAACAATTTTATCTGTTGGTAAATTATATTCAGTTTATCAGAAAGTGCTTTCTCTTTTCAAATAGTGTCTTTAGTGGGATCTTTAATATGCATCTGAAGAACAGGCAGATAATAATAATAATTATAATCCTTGCATTTGATATAGTCTCAAAGCGTTTCACAGAATGTACTGTAAAGTGAATTGACTGTATATTTTGCGGGCGAAACGTGGCAGCCAATTGCGCACAGTAGTGTCCCACAAACAGTCATGGATTGAGTGACCACATTTTTTTTGAAGAATTATCTATACGTCACAAATCCTTATATTCTAATCAGCTTCGACTCTGAGTTCAAGATCCAAAGTGGGGCTTGAACCCAGAATCTAGAGGTGAGAATCCTACCAACTGAGTCAATCTGCCATTGTATTAACTGCAGTACTCTCAGTGCCCCAATGAACACTTTACAAAGATGGAATTTCTTACATCAACAAAGAAAAATCTTACTGTCTGAAGGCCAGTTTGATGGAGAATATCCTTTCAATGGTAAAATCTCCACTTCATTGGCTGAAGATGGTCCAAAGAAAACACTACATGCGATGAAGGTATCCAACGGGTCAAATGCCAAGGTTTTTGATACTATCCAGAGATCATCTGCCAAAATTAAATATTGTTTAAAAGAAGAAAAAATAAGAGAAGGACAACTAAAAAACAGCAACGTTAATGGCCTCACTGCTAGCCTGGGAAATGACAGACTTTCTGTGCCCATGCGCAGTGATTTGAAATGGGATTATGGAGAGTAGAGCCTCCTGGATCAGTTCTGGAGAGTTGGCATAAGAGACATCCAGTAGTCAAGCATTTACTATTGCAACTACAACAACAAATTACACTTATAGAGCACCCTTCAAGTCAGAAAAACGTCCCAGGGCGCTGGACAGTCCAGGGTTTTTGGACCCGAGCTGGGAATTGGCATCAGGAGAAGTGGAGGGCAGGGGGGGGTGGAGGTAGGAGGTTGGTGGGAGGGTGGCCAAAGGCATGGTCGAAAAGGAAGATTTTTAGACAGGACTTGAAGGAGGCAAGAGGGATTGCGAGATAGAGTTCCAGATTGTGGGGACAGAGAGGCTGAATGCTCGACCGGCAATGGTGCCATGGGAAGTGCGGGGTAAGTGCAGCAGACCAGTGTCCACCAAGCAGAGGGAGCATAAAGGCTAATATAGGGTTAGGAGGTTGGAGAGGTAGGGAGGAGCAAGACCGTGGAGTGCTTTGAAGGTAAGAATAAGGGTTTTGTACTCGATCTTCTGAGGGTTAGGGTACCAGTGAAACCGCCAAGAACGGGGGGGATTGGTTCGCGGAGCCTGGTGCGGGAGAGGACACGAGCTGCAGAGTTCTGAATAATCTGCAGCTTGTGGAGGAAAGAGTTGGGAAGTCCAGCAAGCAAGCCAAACGAGCTTACATATCACTTCTCTAAGTTGTACTAAAGAGCTTGTATACAAATATGTTTCACCCACAAATATACAGTCAATTCACTTTACAGCATATTCTGTGAAGCGCTTTGAGACGTCTAGATGTGAAAAAGCGCTATATCAAATGCAAGGATTATTATTATTATTATAATACCTCTACTGTAGACCGAGGAGTTCTCTTTCCTGCTCAGTCGAAGGTACAGTTTTGGTTGACAGGTGTTTTCCAAATCTTCATCATTTCTGAGTTCCTTCAATTTGCCACGACAAAACTTCCTATTGTGAAAATTAAATGTTCTTCTCCTGTAAACAGCAGAGGTAGAAAAAGTTCTTACAGTCCATGCCCAGAGGGTTTAATTTAATTTTTTTTAAAGGAACAACAACAACAAAATTACATTTGTACAGACTTTTCATGTCGGGAGGACGTCCCAAGGTGCTGAACAGACAGAATTTTGGACCCGAGCTGGGGGTCAGGATTGGGGAGGGTGGAGGGCAGTGAGGGAATGAGAGTGATTGAAAGCACGGTTGAAGAGGAGGGTCTTGAGATGGGTCTTGAAGGAGGCAAGGGAAGGGGCGAGGTGGAGGAACTACGGGATGGAGTTCCAGAGGGTGGGGCAGAGTGGCTGAAGGCCCGCCCGCCAATAGTGGGACGAGCGAGACGGGGGACATGAAGCAGGCCGGAGCCCACTGAGGTAGAGGGGAGCAAGACCATGGAGGGCTTTGAAGGTGATGACCGGGATCTTGAACTGTATCCTCTGTGGAATGGGAAGTCATTGGTGTTGGGCGAGGATGGGGATGATAGGGTCGCGGAGCCTTGGTGCGGAGAGGACACGGGCTGCAGAGTTCTGGATGATCTGCAGCTTATGGAGGGAGAAGTTGGGGAGGCCGCCAATCAAGAAGTTTATATAATCAAACCTCGATCTAATGAAAGCATATATGAGGGTTTTGGCGGCCTGTGGTGTGAGACAGTGGAGGAGTCAGGCAATGTTGTGAAGGTGGGGGAAGGCAGAGCGGGTCATGGCACAGATGTGGGGTAGAAAAGATATTTGAGGGTCAAACAAGACGCCAAGGTTCCGGACTGGCTTAGTAAGGTGAAGTGTGCAACCATGGATGGTGATGCTGTCAGTGCCTGAGGTGTGAAGGAAAATCAGAAATTTCAGAGCCAAAGCAAATAAGGAAAATGTGCAAACTTCCTGCCACACTAGCCTGCAAAAAATGTACAGGATGGCACCTCCAAACAATCCATCGCATATCTAGCATGGCTTTGAAGCGTCCGCCAAGACTTGAGAGTTCAAAGATGCATTATACCTCACAGCAAATCCTGTGAAGCATTTCAGCTGTCCTCCCAAAGTAGACAATATTAAACGTAAGGACTATTATTGTTATAATTCCAATAATAGCTATTCATTGGAATTTTACTTATTCTTGAATAGTATAAAATCAACAGCACAAATGGATGGTAAAGGGAGATAAATTCAATTTGCTAAAATGTTAGGATTCGGGTGAAGGTAACAGTTTTGAGTCCTTTTCCTATCCTGCCCTTCAAAGGAATGGCCTCTTTGCTGGTGTACAGCTTCACAGATGCCCTCCTCCAGGATCTGACTGCTTCAGTCCCTGCCTGATGTGCAACACAAAATATAATACAATACAAAATTACATTTGCAAAGTGCCTTTCACGTCGGGAGGACATCCTAAGGTGTTGAACAGTGAGGATTAGCTCCCAAGTGGGGGTCGGAGGGGGGTGGCGGTGGGGGGAAGTGAAATTAGGAGGGGTGGAGGGCAGAGAGGGTGGATGAAGGCATGGTCGAAGAGGAGGATCTTGAGGCATGCCTTGAACGATGCAAGGGAGGGAGCGAGGCAAAGGGAATGTGTGATGGAGTTCCAGAGGGTGGGGTCAGAATGGCAGAAGGCCCGACAATGGTGGAGCGGAGCGGGCAGGGGACATGGAGCAGGCCGGAGCTTGCTAAGAGGAGGGAGCGGACAGGTTGATAAGGGGTTAGCAGGTCGGAGAGGAAGGAGGAGCCAAGGCCATGGAGGGTCTTGAAGGTGAGGTCGAGAATTTTGAACTCGTTCCTCTGAGGGATGGGGAACCAGTGGAGCTGGGCGAGGGTGGGTGTGATGGAGTCATGGAGCCTGGTGTGGGAGAGTACATGAGCTGCAGAGTTCTGGATGATTCACAGCTTGTGGAGGGAAGAGTTGGTAAGGCTGATAAGGAAGTTGTTGGTATAGTCGAGCCTGGTTGCAATGAAGGCATGTATGAGGGTTTCAGCGGCCTGAGGTTTGAGGCAGTGGCGGAGTCGGGCAATGTTGCAGAAGTGGGGGAAGACAGAGTGGTTCATAGCACGGATGTAAGGAGCAATCTCAGACATTGTCGGCAGGCTAGTTGATACTAATCAATCGTGCAGGCCATCACAACCAAGAGCATTAAAAAATAATGACACTGAGCGTCATTTGGAAGAGCAACCATGTATGTGATTTCCACATGTGTTAAGTAACCCAATCACAGCGGCTGGCTGTTAAGGAATCTCTCCTCCAAAATAGACAAGCAATAATGATCTCACCTTACGTGCAGCTGGCATTCACCATAAAAATGTATATGCTGACTTCTGATGAAAGCAGATATGCTCTTTGCATCAGCTAGCATCAGTTTTGACTGAGGCCCAGTTTCCTGCTTTGAGTCAATGGGCTTCACATTGTCTAACCATTTGAAGAACTTACACTGGTCAGACTTTGAGGCATCACAAGTGTAGAACAAACGACCCTGCAAGTAAAGCAAACAAGACTCAGTTCTAAGAATTAAGTTCCTTAAAGCTAAATACACCCACCCCAATAAATCAAACAGTCCGAAAGCAAAACAAAAAAAAACCTAGATACTCTAAGCTAGGAGTTGGATAAATTACTTGAGGAAAAATACTGTTAAAAGGTACAGAGGAAAACATGAGGAATGAGATTACAGCAAGTAATAATAATAATAATATAATCATCCTTGCATTTGATAATTCCATGTACCAAAGAACACATTCTGTCAATATAAAGCAAGTTTCCACTGTTCCATAGCTTTCCAAACCTCTATTAAAATCTTGAGATATCTAGATAATGAAAGCTTGCTGCAAACATTACCTTATTTGGACCTTCCTTTTTAACCATGACAAGTTTTGCAGGCTGCTGATGTTGGCAAAGGGGGATAAAGCTTTGCTTAATATCAGCGCCTCCTGATTTTTCTGAAGAATACTGGGTTAGATCGACATTTGACAGTACTCGGTGAAGTTTTAAAGACAATTCATATAGCAAAATGTTGAGATGTTCTGAAAAAACAAATCATAAGCACGCTGTGAAACTGATCATACACTGAATCGTTCAGAGTGTTCCTGGCACATAAATGGGTTTGCTCCCTCCATTCTCCTTTCAAGGCAATGTCTCAAAATGTACCTCTTTTAGCCATCTTTCCTGTCCCCACTCCCCTCAGCTCCCATCCTTAGTTTGGGTGCCGATCCAGCACTGTGAATGGGCTTTGTGATGACTTCCCAACATGAAATGCATTATATAGTACATTCTATTTTGTTGTAATAACTTTTGAAATTGATATAGACCCTATAATATTGAAACAGTGTTAAATGCAGTCACTGTGTATTTTGTAGTCAAGCGGGGCCTATAGATACTCCATTGCCACCTCAACTAAGGTTAGCTACCTCAGCATGCGAATTAATCATGGTCAGTAATTCTCAGGATCAACCACAGAGATATATTGTGGAGTGAACATTTAAAAGCACTTCCATAATCACATTTACCTACTGAAGTTAGGAGTTGGATAATACTTGAAGAAACATAATGTTTGAAGACATAATGGGGAAAATTAATGCAATCATAAGGAAGAAGAGGGATATAGGTCTTAGGGGATGAGGAGGGGTCGGGGCTCTTGTGGAGTATAAACACTGGCACAGATGAGTTGGGCCAATTGGCCTGATTCCCTGCTGCAACGTTCTATGTAATTCTATGTAATACCTGTTAACGCTGCGGTGAAAACCTGCCTGTAATGGGCAGGACTGAGGAAGGTGACTGGAATGGTGACTTGTCTCTTAGGAACCATAGTCCCTTGCAAAACCTGTGCTCTGGGAAAAGACAACTCTGACACCAAGAGATTCTGCAATAGAAGCAAAAGTACCAATCATTGAATATTATTGCTGAAAGGCCATCTTTATCAGAGATACTAAAACAGCTTTTATTACATTGCATCATATTGCAGAGGCAGGTAAGTACAAGCATCACATTGCACAGGAGCAAAAAAAATTAATCTGATTTATGAAGTTGCTTTTCTTCTAAATAAAAGTTAACATTTTATTAATATCTGGCTTGATTTCTTGAGTTGTTGATATTCAAAAATACTAAATTTCACTTCACTGTTTTTTTACGCTTTTTGTGCATCATTTCCCCCACTCTTAATTTTTGCCTGTTTTTCAAACGAAAGAATAGACCCCCAAAAGCCTGAAAAAACTCAGGGTTTTATTGATCAATTTTATACCATCCTTTCATAAGCAACATCATTTATCCCTGAACTTACACAAATAGAGCAGGCATGTAAAATATTAATTTTCTGACAGACAATGGTCATTTGAACACTGTTTCTACCAGCAATTTAAGCCTTAAATCCAGCAGATTAAGCAAACCTGCACCTAATACTTTCTGGAGTTAGGTAAACAGAATCATCCCTCCAGGGAGAGAGGTCGCATTCCAGTCCAAAAACATATCTCTGGAATTTCCATGTAGGTGGGATGCATGGAATTCTTAGTTCGGTTTGGATACTCTTAAGCATGGTGATGGGTTTCTGCATGTGTCAAGACAACCAGCTGACCNAAAAAAGAGGTTGGTAAATGAAGAATATATTCATTTGGGGAGCAATGTTTCACGAAACTATTTTTGTCACATTTTACCGCACAATAGCATGACAAATATTAAGTCAGACTCAAAACAGTCAGTTTTACCTGCAATCCTTTTGGGCTGAGATTATTTGATTGGTTTGATAAACCGTGCCCCATATTTGTAGGTATGGCATTTAACAAAGTGGTCCTTTCCGATAAGTTTACTCTGCTTGAAATTCCGTGTTGGTTGACCAGTTTCTCTTTTATCAGCTGTGCACAAAGTGAATCACTTGAATGTTTCTGCATCTCAAGAAACTTTCTGTTCCTTTCCTCAAAGGTCGGCATTTCAAACATAACATCTCCACTAAAGTTGTGATCTCCTTCAGCAAGGCCATCACCTCTTTGAGACACTCCACTGGGCTGTGCCGAATTTTCATACTTCAGCCATTTACTACCCTGACTCTCAAACGTCACTTGAGGATTCACTGATTGTTCAAGCTCTTGGACCAATACATCAGTATTATTATAGGAAGCATCAATGCCACGTGAACACCCTTGTATGCTGTGCAGTGAGTAAACAGTTGAGCTCTGCTCAAGATGATCGGCGCAATTTGCATCTGAAAAACTGTCCACAAAACTAGGAGCAGGCCAGTCAACACCAGTGGCTAATGGCACAGTAACAAGTGGAGATCTTAGTCTCAAAGCTGGTCGGATTCTAGGTTCTCTGGCCTTCAACTCTTCTTTTCCTGTGAAAGACAAGAATTTTGCATAAATTTATACAAAACATATTTACTTTCAGATAAGCCAAGGCAGCGGGACCCACATTCAGGATGAAGAGCTCAGAAATTGTAGATGGAACTCTGGAATGGTGGAGGATAATGTAGGGAGGATATTCTATAATAATTATCATTATTTTTCATATAGAGTCTTTTAGTTGAAACATCAGAGCATTTCACAGTATTTTACTGTAGAGTACAGTGACTGTGTATTCGAAGGCAAACATGATAGCCAATTTTGTGCATAGTATTAAGCGAATGACCACTTTTAAATATGGGATTGTTGACCGGAAAACACCACAAATATGTGACGCTTTAAAAGTTGAATATATCACATATTCAAAATTGTTTAAAAAAAATTGAATTTATTTAATAATATGTCACATACCAAAGAGGGGTCCACTGGTAACGGATCGGTGGCTTGGCACTGAAAACTCAAGTTCTTCCTCCACGTTATTGAGCAGATTATCCCTAGAATGTCTGATGATGCTGCTCATGGCCGGGATCACTGAAGGCACCTGCTGTACCGGAGAATTTACCTTGCAATAAATGGGGGGGAGAATATGTTGAGCTAGATGTAATCAAATTAATTTGCCTTATTTATAATAATAACGATCCTTGCATTTGATATAGTGCCAATTACGTCTTTGAGACATCTCAAAGCGCTTCACAGATTATACTGTAAAGCGAATTGATTGTATATTTGTTCAAAAAGGTTATTTAACTCTGAATCTTAAATGTTTATTGTATAATTCTGCATAAGAAATGAGCTATGTGGTACTAATGAGGCGAAGGGGCACAAAACGTGTAAACATTGTAGATGGATTTGGTGTTGCATAATAAAATGCACAAGGTATTGAAGGATCAGTTTTTGTTTAACCTCATTATGTGCCTTATCTTACAATCCTTGAAACACAGCAATAAACAATGTATTTGTATTTGTACCAAACTTGTTAAATCACATAATGCAGCATATGACCAGTGGACACAAATCCAGCCGTGTCTTCTACAGAACTCTAGCTCGTGGTCAACCACAACAACTAGCATTTATATATCGTCCATCATATAGAGTAGGGTCTCAGATCACTGACCATTATCCAATACGTACAACTTATGTGTTGATTTTTATATTTCTTTAGAAAAACTCCTAGATACACAAACATCAAATTCAATTTCAAAAGGGGTAAGTGTTATTTTCTCTTCAGCGGTATATTTGCAAATCTTCAATGCATTTAAAGTGGCAAATCCTGACAGAACACACTGCTCTCAGAAATAATGCAACGCAAATAACGCATTCATATTCAATGCAGGCTTGTGCCATTAATTTTGTATAAATAGTTTTGCCAAACAAAACAAGGTGCAGGGAATTCACTAATTACAACAAACAGCACCTGTCCGTATAGATTAACCTTGTGAGAATCCCATGATGGCCATTGCGTCAATCCAAAGTCAGATTCTGAAGCAGAAGGTGAACTCAACCAGGCAGGGATCTTTGATGATAAGATGGGCTCTAGGATAGAATAAAAATATATATTTTTGAATTTGGTTTAATGCCTTTAATAAAACAAAAACAACTTGCATTTATACAGCACCCGTCACACGGCGTAGCGTCCAGGAGCGCTTAAATGTTGAGGACATCTCAAAGATGTTTCTGTGAAATGTAGTGACTGTGCATTTGTGGGCCAACACAGCTACTAATTTGCACAAGGGAATGTCCCACAAACAACCACAAAGTTAATGACGAATTTTATTTGTGGAATTGTTGGCCAGGACACTGAGAGAAACACCATTCTCCTTTTATAGCGCAATGGTGGCCAACCTGTGGCCTGCAGGCCGGAAGTGGCCTGTGGGACAGTCAAGAAGCACCCCATATATTTATGGAATAAATCAAGAAATATTCAATTAAGAAAATGTATTTTGTTAGGCAACCATAAAGCTTGGGCCACCACTGGAATAGTACCAGAGAATTTAAAATGTCCACCTGAACAGGCAGACAGGACCTTAGTTTGACATCTAATCCAAGGATGGCACCTCCAATAATGCAGCAGTAACTGCAATAGAATATCAATTGGACCATGAGTTCAAAAGTCCCAAAGTGGGCCTTGAACCCACACCCTTCTGACTCAGAACCAGGAGTGTTAGAGTTAGGGTTAGGGTTAGAGTTAGGGTACCAAATGAGCCAGGCCGATTCCTGATAAATCATTGAAACAGCACAATGAGGTATTTCCCGGGGTGGGGAATTTAACAGACACACAGGAATATGATTGATCATAGATATATTCCAACACACGTCCGTTTCAATTAAAGAAGAAAAGCACGTACCATGATCATCTTCATCCCAGAGACAGATGTCTTCACTAGCTTCTAAATTCTGTTCATGGAAACTTGGAGCACCAATTGGTGGTACAATTGGTTCTGAAAGCTTTAATAAAAATGTATATAGTATGTATAAAATCTGTGTAATTGTGCACACGTTTCCAGTGAGATTACACCTGCTTTTGTGTTTGCTTTACCTGAAAAAGTGTAGAATTTGTTGGCGATGGAGGCATTACATAGCCAAAAGAGTCTGCACTAAGCCTTCCCTGAAGCATATACAAATTATCAAAGCATTTCTGGTATTCAAACTTTTTCTGCGGTACCCTAATTACCAGGTCACTGGTGGCAGAGCCCTTCACTTGGTGCCCTCTAAACTCAGCAGCCTGTAAAAATACACCAAAACTGTTTTCATTAACTTGCCAGACACCAAAGTAAAATACTGAATCTACAAATATTTTTGTCTGATCCTATTCAAACTTAAACTATAAGGAAACTGACCTCTTGGACCCTGGCAACCATTGCAAATGTAAAACTTATTGTACATGGAAAGCATGCCAGAGCAAGACCATCACTAAGGCACTATATCAAGTGCAATGATTATTGTCACTTTACCTCATCTATTCACTCTCTTACCTAATCTACCCAAACCTCACATTGCATACAATATGACCTAATTTAGCTTTGACAGACAAGGCATTTTGTACGGAAGCTAATGTGGTTTACTAAGAAAAACTCCAGTCATATCATTTTGCTTGGTTAAGAATGCATTTTAGAACTTTTATAAGTTGGTAACAGTAGGTTGTCTGGGGTTGGTAGGACAAAACCAGACAGCTGAGTTGGTTAGTTGCCGGTTGAGTTTGCTGATCGCAGCTAGAATGGCAGTAAGACACTAAAAGTGACCTCAATAAGAAACGCGGCAGCCAATTGCGCACAGTAGTGTCCCACAAACAGTCATGGATTGAGTGACCAATTTATTATTGTTTTAAGGAATTATTACTCCCGGAAAGCAATCCTCCAATCGACCAACAACCAGGTTCCTACTTACTGCTAGGTAAACAGAGGCGTGTGGAGTAAGGAAACTTGCCTAACATTTCGCCCTGCCGGGAATCGAACCCAGGCCTCTCGCTTCCAAAGCGAGTGCTGTAACCACTGAGCTACAGGACTCCACTGGAGAGAATGCACTCAAGCTAGGGAGAGGAGGGGGAAAAAGCAGCTGGGGTTCCTGCTTCTGTTGACCATTCATAGAAACTATACTGGTGGAAGGTGAACGTATGAAGGAGTTGGTTACGGCACAATCTGTCTCGACTATGACGCCCCTCCCCCCCCCCACCCCAAGTTGAATCTTTTTCCACCGGTCACTGTAAAAGTTCACACTTGAATAATGGCCACTTGGACATATACTCCAGTGTATGAAAAGGGTCCGAAATTGGTAAGAGAAAATTTGAAAAGAAATAAAATCCATCACAGGACAGGCAGCCCACATCTGTAACATAGGTGAAGAGAGGTTCTAATCTTGAAAGCACTGACATTGAACTGTAGCTCCTCTAAGGCACTGGACTATATCTCTCCAGAATTTCCCTTTGCCGAGATGCTTACCAGAGCAGAGTTGAACAATGTGGAAAATTAATGAAACTCAAACAAGTTGCAGCTAAATATTTCAGCAGATGTAAAGATTTCTGAACTGTTAAATGACTTTTATGTAATATAGCGTCTTGCTACCTTTGGAGGTCTGAGTAGTCTGTTGGTTGTTGTAATAGCTTCCGGCCAATAGTCATCCACATGTTCTTGCAGTATTTGTCTACTTCCTGTCGCCTAAAATAATACATATGTACCATTGAGAAAGACAAGATGAAGAAAACAAAGCTATAAGAAGCTATATTTTTAAAGCCTCAATTATACATGCATACACACAAACACACACAGACCCTGGGATCAGTGGTCGCACTCTCGCCTCTGTGTTGGAAGGTTGTGGGTTCAAGCCCCACTTTGGGACCTGTACTCATAGTCCATGCTGACACTCCAATGCAGTGCTGGGGTGTAGGGGGGTGGGGGTGCATTGCTGGAGGTGCCATCCTTCAGATGAGATGTTAAACTGTCTACAACAACAACAACAAGATTGCATTTATAAAGCGCCTTTCACGTTGGGAGGACATCCCAAGGCGCTGGACAGTTGGGTCGGGACACGAGCAGGGGGGAAATGGTCTACCTGTTCAGGTGAATTTTAAAGTTCTTATGGCACTATTCAAAAAGAATAAAGAGTTTCTCCCAGTGTTCCTGGCCAACAAACCTCCAGATAAAATTGGTCATTCATTTCATGGCTGTTTGTGAGATATTGATGTGTGCAAAATGGCTCCCACATTTGCCCACAAACACATTGTCACTCCATTCATAATATATCCTGTAAAATGCTTTGGGCCATCCTCCCAATGTGAATGGTGCCATACCAAATATAAGGATTTTTTTTTTAAGAAGCAGCTCATGTTGTTACTTGCATTCCACAGTACCCCTGACTAAATAACGACAAATAATAGTGATTTAATCTCCACACTGTAACTATCACAAGAAGCTGATGCACAATATAAACGTGGCTGCTTCTATGGTACCAAGAATGGGCACCAGAACTGATGATCCTCATGATATTTCTTTGCCCAGAGGGTAATTAACAATTGAAACAATGTTACCAGGAAGAGTGGTTTAACAGCTTGATGCCGTGATGGGAGGAAGGTGGAGTGGGTATTCTAGAAAGATGAGATGATAATCCTCGCATTTGAAATAGCACCTTTCACATGAGGAGGATGTCTGTAAGTGCTTCAGAAGATGTTATTGTAAAATGTGGTGATTCCGTATTTATCAGGTGAAATCAAATAGACCGGAGCTTCTTCATAACGAACCTCTTGCAAAAATTGCACCATTTAGTTTAATTCCCTTCACAGCTCTGCCGACTGACCAGCAGAGGGCTCTCACTGGCTGCCATAACTTGCAGTCAAAACACTGTCATTAGCGGAACGACTTTCTGTTTCAACATATTAACCCCCGGGTGCTATAATGTAAATGCCTATTAACTGTGCATTTATTGGCAAAAGTTCAGTAAACACAGAACAGCTCTTCCTAAAACTACCTCCTTGATTATATTTCATATATATATTATACACACACATACAGGGGGAGTCAAAAGTCCTTACTCATAGGTCTACATGAGATGTTCAAACTGCAGGCCATGTAATAATAATCCTTGCATTTGATATAGCGCTTTTCATGTCTTCTAGACGTCTCAAAGCGCTTCACAGAATATATTGTAAAGTGAAATGACTGTATATTTGTGGGCAAAACCCGGCAGCCAATTGCGCACAGCAGTGTCCCACAAACAGTCACGGATTGAAGTGATGTAGATGTTCACACGTATCAACTCAGTGAAAAAAAACTTTCACAAAAGCGATGAAAGACATTTCCTGTCATAGCTGCATATTCTCTACAAATGTTGTCTTAAAAAAAACACATAATTAAAAACATTTTATGAGTAAGGATATCTGATTCACCCTGCATGTTTAAATCTGTGCTAAATATAAACTACTTTGACACGGTGTCAGAGCAGTAGAGAGAAAACTACAGTACTGGAAAAAGTACTAAAGCAAAACACAATGAAACATTTCTTTCTCTCTTATACCCCTTAATTGAAGTATTCAAATAATTATCAAATTCCCTTTTGAATTTGCTGACACAATTTGCTTTCACCCTGCTCCCTGGGTTTGTCTTTTACTAATTACTGCATAAATTCAGGTTCCCATGAATCTTGAAAATAGCAGAGTTTTGAATCCCCTTGTTCTAGTGTATTGACTGTGTTAAACATATTATTAGGGTTCAGTTTGCCAATACTCCTTAGGATCTTGACTATTAAAGTAAGATCTCCCTTTCTCAGACCTGCATTTTAGTGTAAATATTCTGGCATTTGATACAGCGCCTTATCATGTCTTCTAGATGTCTTAAAATGCTTCACAGAATATACTGCAAAGTGAATTGACTGTATATTTTGTGGGCTAAACACGGCAACCAATTGCACACAACAATGTCCCACAAACAGTCGTGGAGTGAGTGACCAAATTATTATTAATTTTATTTTTTTTGATGGGATTATTACCCCCAGAAAAGTGATGCACCAATCGACTAACAACTGGGTTCCTACTTACTGCTAAACAAACAGAGGCATGTGGAGTAAGGAAACTTGCCCAACGTTTCACCCAGCCTGGGAATCAAACCCAAGTCCTTTCGCTTGCAAGGTGAGTGCTCTAACCACTAAGCTACAGGACTCCAAGAAAAACAAGGGAATACGAATTGGGAGAGAAAAAGTTCACAAAACAAACTTTAATAGCTTCAATTGCTTTTCAAAAATAAAATGTATCTGTACATGAAACACAATGTAAAGGCACCATAACTTTATCTTTTTTTAAAAATGACCATGAAATTAATGTAGTTCAGCAGACAGGCTGGGAATATGTATGTCCTAAGAATTGGTTCAGCCCAGATTCTTTTATGTACACCTTGACTCAGTGACTTTAAGCCCTCCATTCAGTGGATTTTCTTTCTACTTTTCGCCATTCCTTCCTCTCTTGAAGGCGTTGATGATTTTGTGGGCTACGACTCAATAGGTACCAGCTGCTCTCTTGAAACCTTGTCAAAGTGGCCATTATTCATGTGTGAAGCTAGACATCTGGCCACTGGGGGCACCATTGTGGAGCATGATCCTGTAGTCGCCAACAACCATCCGCTGGCATGGACCCTTCAGCAAAGGGCTTTGGACAGCAATCAGGATATTCACTAATATTATGTTCGTTTTTTTTAATTGAATTTTGATAAATGTTTTCCCATAGGTTCCTCTTGTTCCCATCATCCTTTCGGCTGTAAAATCTAATTATACTGTATCACAGAGCCATTTTACAAGCAATAGAAGCAATTTACATGCTCATGATTCTATATCAAGATTATAATAAGGGGGAAGCATTAAACCTGACAAAGAGAGCTGTAGAGAAATAATTTGCTTTTCGTTGGTTTAACACTGCAGAGAAAGGAAACAACAAAACTCAACTTCAAACTAAGCTACTGTACCTCAGCTGGAGCCCAGCTATAACCTGCAGGCAAACTCTTCACAGCAAGCACAGGACAGTCAGACTCAAATACGCTCAGAGCTGGGAAACAAAATAAGATGTCAATGATTACTCAGATCCACAGGTCATTCCAGGCGTAAATAAATATGTGTTCACGAATTTGAAAATAAATCTGTCAAAAGTTGAACGTGAACAACTGTATTGCAGGTTACAGGCACATAAATAAAACACCAGCTTGCAATGATATTGGATCCAAAGAATCCACTTAACCTGGTGGTAAAACGGCTAAATCTGAAATAGTTACAAAAGTATGTGTGAACATTTAGAATAAAACTACTTGCACATCTGCACCACAGCAGTTTGTTTTTTAAAAAATAAGTAAAATGATTACATAAGTCTTCCTCTATAATGTCAAATAACCTGTGTTACAAATGTGGATTTTTAATAAAAAGATTCTAATGCCCAAGAGCCATGGTGTGGGGAATCTGCAAGGGCTACTACCATTCCCTACTGGAAAGTGTACATGTGCTTATGAATATCAGGACTCAAATGCTCTCCATGATCAAATATGCTGTTAACACCCACTATCTAGACTTGAGCTTACAAGGATCCACTTAGAACCCACAGGTTGCAAAATCTATCGTAAGTAAACGTGCCCCGAGAGGTCAGGATGTTAACATTAGTAATGCAAAGTAATGATAAGAAAATCTTACCTCCAGGAATCTCTTCCTGCATCAGAAGTGCTGATGTTGAGCCTCCCTTAATTACTGAGTCTTCAAAATGTTTGGACTCTGTTAATTTTTTCAAGCTTTCTAATGCAGTGACATGTTCCGATAAAGATTTTAGTAACAAAATGCTACCTTCCTGTTCGGGTAGAGAAGGGTACACATCAGCACTCGTTCTGCTTTCCTCTGCTTCAAGAACAGGTATTTCTCGACTCGGTGAAGGCTGTGCTTCCATTGAAGATTCAGTCTTTAGGAGAGCTCCTGGTTTAATGTTGTCACAGCATTCCTCCCGCATTAGCTGAGAAATGTTCTCTTCCTCAGCAGCAACAGGAAATCTCATTTCCATTTCCTCACCTTCAGTCCAACTAGCTTCTAAATCATTTCCAAACTTCTTTTCTTCAGCTGAAGTATACCTTCCAAGTTTCTTATAGGAGGTGCAGCTGTTGGATGTTGGTTGCAATAACTTTTCAGCATTGTTTGTGCACAAATCAGTACTTCTCATTTCATCCAGGATAAAGTCATCCAGCAGGTCAAAGCTTATGTCAGCAAAAGGTTTACTGCCTCCTGAGTCTGGTTCATTTGGTACAACGGTTTCTTCAGCGTTCTTACCAGACGAGGGTAATGAGAAACCAGCATCGGAAAACACCTCTACAAATGGTGCTTTCACAGGCTTTTCTGATGCTTCAGTTGTTGATGTTTCCCTCGAATCAGCAGTGACATCAATCTGCTGATCTGTAGACTCTTCCCCTGCTATTGCATTACTAGAATACAGGTTGTCTTCCTCACATTGATGTTCCACTTCTGGTCTATTCTGGTAAGAATACGACCCACCCATGTCCACAGATAAATCCATCATTAAGCTATCACTGGAGTCGTGAGATTCCATTGCATCTCGAGTCTCTTCCAATCTTGGACTCTCATTTTCAATAACACTGCAAGAACGATCAAAACAACTTACCCCCGGATGGCTAGTAGCATTTTCTACTGTGCACGTGGTGCTTCTGCCACGAGGCAAAGACTTCTGCTGCTTAGTGTTGAAGGTTTCCAAAACGTCAGGACTCGGCAATGCACTTAAGTCAATAAGTGCTAAAATCTGTGCTTTGCTCCTTCTGTTTTCCTGCACTCCCTCAGGATGGGGATGTGCTCCAGGGCGGCTATTTGCTACAGTAAACTGAAGTTTTTGGCATAGCCCTTTGATGGAACTTGTCTGGGGTATCCTGGGGCCTGCCGTTGAATAAAAAGCATGGATTTCTTCCTTGGGATTCGATTTCTGAATAGAATTTGAATAAGGTGCAGTGGGTAAGGACGAGATGGATGCAACTTCCCTTGATAAATTAGCTGTGCTGTCTTTCACAGATGGAAGTGCCGAAACTCCAGAAACTGAAGTCATCCTTTCCTTCATGTATGAAGTAGAAAAGAGGGGAGAGGTAGCATAAAACTGAGGAGGAAGAGAAAGGCTATGCTCTTGGGACTTCATCACTACACCCACTATGTCTTTTTCTTCTACTGTGACTTTCTTTTGTGACTGTATTTCCCGAGGACCCTGAAAACCCTATAAGAGGAGGAAATGAAGCACAGTGAATGCAAAATCATTGCAATCCTTTGTAAAATTATAAACACATCTAAAACACAATGAACTATTACATAACTGCGACAAAATCATTATTAAAATCAGTACATACAGTGTACTTCCTTTTCAGACCCACAGGTAGGTGACACCGAGTGGGAATTGCAGGCCTTTTACTGATGGTACCAAGCTTCGGGGCCTCCTTCTGGTGAGGACAAGCAGCCTGATCATTCTTGGGAGCTTTTTCCTCCTCTACAGTGATCAAATATCGGTCACTTTCCAAATCATCTCCCGATTTTATCTATGAATGCAGAAAACATAAATGAAGCTAACAATAACAACAATCGTTGCATTTGATAATGGCTTTCACGTCGAAAAGACATTTCAAAGCACTACACAGAATTTACTCTCCATTACCTCCGTTCTTGCCACATTTCACTGGCTCCCAGCAAATCAACTTCACTTCATCCTCAACTATAAATTCCTTCACGTCCCAGCACTTCCCTATCTCTGAGTTTCTCCAATCCTACTCCTCTGTTCACCCCCTCCCTCAGCTAACTCATGTTTGCTAAGTGTCCCTCATTCTCTCCCCACCACCTTTGGAGACGGAGCTTTCAGATTCTATGCCTTAACCTCTGTAAATCCCTTCCTCTAACCCTCTATCTCACCACCTCTCTATCTGTCTTTAAGTCCTGTTTTAAAACCTATCTCTGCGATCACAACAACAACAACAAGATTCCATTTACAGAGCGCCTTTCACGTCGGGAGGACGTCCCAAGGCACTGGACAGTTGGGTCAGGACCCAAGCATTGGGGGGAAATGGTCAGGGTGAGGGGAGGGAAGGGAGGGAGCGAGGAGGGTGTAGAAAGTCGAGAGGGGAGGTGAAGGCACGGTTGAAGAGAAAGGTCTTGAGACCGGCCTTGAAGGGGGAAGGGAGGAGGCGGCGAAGGCACTGGGGGATAGAGTTCCAGAGCCTCGGGGCTGAGAGGCTGAAGGCCCGGCCACCGATGGTAGGGCGGTTAGGGCGGGGGATGTGGAGCAGACCGGAGCCAGAGGAACGGAGGGAACGGGCGGGTAAGTAGGGGGATAGTAGGTCGGAGAGGTAGGAGGGAGCAAGGCCGTGAATGGCCTTGTAGGCGAGGATGAGGATCTTGAATTCGATCCTCTGGGGGATGGGGAGCCAGTGGAGGCGAGCGAGGGTGGGAGTGATGTGGTCGCGAAGTCTGGTGAGGGACAGTACACGAGCTGTAGAGTTCTGAATGACCTGCAGCTTGTGGAGGGAGGTGCCGTGAAGGCCGGCGAGGAGAGAGTTCCCATAGTCCAGCCTTGAGGTGATAAAGGCGTGAACCAGGGTTTCAGCAGCGTGAGGGGTGAGGTAATGCCGTAGTCTGGCGATGTTCCGGAGGTGGTGGAAGGCGGTGCCAGTTGTGGTGCGGATGTGGGGAAGAAAGGACAGCTCAGGGTCGAACAGAACGCCGAGGTTCCTGACTGCTTTGAGAGGTGGAGAGTGCAGCCTTGGATGCTGATGCTGTCAGCGCCTGAGGTGCGGAGGCGCTGACGCGAGTCAATCAGGAGGGCCTCAGTTTTGCGCACGTTGAGCTGAAGAAAGTTATCTCTCGTCCAGGACTCGATGTCGGACAGGCAGGCTGTCAGGACATCGGTGGTCGTGGAGTTGAGGGTAGAGGAGGAAAGGTAGAGTTGAGTGTCATCCGCATACATGTGGAAGTTAACTCCATGTCTGCGGATGATGTCACCAAGGGGGAGCATATAGAGGGTGAAGAGGAGGGGAACAGAGCCCTGAGGGACACCACACGAGACAGTGCGGGGGGTGGAGGAAAAGCTGTCACGTCTGTTTGTCACCTCCTCTTCCCCCCCCTCCCCCCACCACCAGTTGGTGTCCAACCCACCACATTTTAAAGTGCTCTTGAGACATTATCCTATGTGAAGGGCACTATAGAATTACATGTTGTTGATGTTGTAGTACTGTTAAATGTAGTAACTGTATTTGTCAGCAAACATATTTGTAGATAACACGATTGAAAAATTATTGGCAAATCTAATATATGTTAGTTCTTTTAGGGTCACAACCACACACCCACAAAATACAGTATTCTTGAATTTTTGTTAGAGTCAGCAATATACACACAAAACATTTCTACTTTGCACAGAAGGAAATGAATGCAATAATACAGCACCTCTTCAGGCTTGACATGTACATAATCCAGGCAGAGTCCTTTCTCGTCAAACAATGTTGCCTGAAGAGAACAGATTAATGAGTAATGAGTATTTTTTTAATATAATACTACTTTATTTTGAGATCTTTCTTATGTTGAAACAACGCAAGGCATTTCACACGATGAGTTACTTTGACGTACAGTGACAGCTGTCACACAATACTACAACATGAATTACACAGTGAATTCTCAGGTAATCCATTTAAAACATTGGGGTTCAAACTGCAGCAAATTAAAATGTGTCACTGCAATCTGATCCCACAAATTGAATAGGATCAGAGAACCAAGTGATCAATAAGGGTGGGACACAAAGGACATTGTTGCTTGTTCTATACAGCAAAAAGTTGAGCGGGGGGTGGGGGGAGATGAAGCACCACAGCCAAAGTTGATCCTTTCATGTCCTCCCGACGTGAAAGGCGATATACAAATGTAATCTTGTTGTTGTTGCTGTTGATGCTGTCTGCATGAGGACACTCACAAAATAGTTTGGGTGACTCGAATCTTGGTATATTGCCGCTCCCTAGCGCAGGGAACACCGAAGTGAACTCTCGAGTCCCAGACAGAGACCTTCCTGAAACCTTCCTGATCTGCGAGGCTCATTTTCACACTGGGCTTTTTCAAATGTGTAATCAGTATATTTTGTTTGAACTCTTATTGTTTCACTTTTGCCAATGAATTCTTCTAAAATGTTCCAAAGATTAAACAGCTATCAGACTAAAAATGTTCATTCTATTTTTGTGTAGGAGTCAACCCAAGTTCCTAAAAGGGATCCAAAACTATTGTAGTCAAACACTTCTATCCTTAATAATTTATTTTCAAAACAAATTGCAACCCACGGGTAAATAACATTTCATGACTTGGTGTCTCTACCAATATTTCATAACTGTACCTTGCTTCCAGAAGAACTGATCTTCAAAATCCCATCATGCCATGTCTTAGCCTTTTTTGTTTTTTGATGCGTGTATAACACCTGCAATCAAAATCAGAACAAAACTTTGACAATTGAAACTCCAATTGACCTTTGTATCTTACAAATAATAATAATCTACCTTTTGTTATGGCCAGATGGATTGGCTCGATTCCAACATCACCAAATGGTCACTAGTTGGTCATATATTTTAACTTATGTAACGGACATTTCTGTAAATTTCACTACTACAATTAAAACTTAGGGTTAAGTGTGAGGCCTGAAATCTGTAAAGTACTAGAGTGTAAAAAAACAAACATCTTGGCTGGTATATAACAAGTCTTAAGTAAAATAATCAATTTAAACATGAAAAAACTTTTAAAAATACACAAAGCCATTTCAGTCATCACAAATAATAAACAATTATAAATCCTTTTCTCCTTCCACCATGTCCTGATTTACTTACAACAAACTCTCGGCAGTACATCTTTTTCGGTCACGTAATATACACTTCAGCTCATTGTTCAATTGCATTGGCTAAAAATGAACAAAACAAACCTGTTAGCTTACGTGCACCTTCAGTGGTTTAATTGAATGCTGTGTATTCGCAGGTTTTAAAGCTATTCTGTCACCCATCAAACTGTGACAGCAAATGATTTACTTTTAATCAAAGTGCAGTAACAGAGTAGACAATTTTTAGCTGTTGTAACTGTATACCCCTCCGTCTGACAATCATAATGTGTAATTATCGAGAATCTAAGTAGAATTCTTTCAACAAAAAACAAAGTTCTGGAAAAAATATTTATTTGCCCTCCCCATCAGTGCATTCATGCCTCCCATACGTCAACAAGCTTCTCTAAAGTCAGGTTAAGCATCACCAATTGTTAGTGCCCAATAAAGAGTGGCTGCAACTGACTGCAGCTCTGCCACGTTTACCCGGGCACCTGCCCATCATTTATTGTTTAATAAACAACCAAGAGGACTTTCACAAACATCTCAAGCTGACCATCCCCTGACCAACCTCCGAGCAAAGGTTTGCCAGAAACTAAAATGCAGTTTGCAGCCCAAAACCCCACCAAACACTCGCCAAAATAGTAGCCTCATCTGACACAGACACACAGAAGCCGATTTAGGGTTAAACCTTGTGAGAGAAGGTTTCGCGGGTTTGAATTTAAATCGTCTTGATTTAAATTAGGCCCCGGACAAAGCGCTTTTTAAAAACACACACACAGGACAGCAAAAAACACGCCCCAAATCGGGTAATTGACAAGCGACATTGTCTCCAGTCCAGTTCGGGCAAATAATAATAATAATAATAATAATAATAATAATAATAATATTTCTTGCAGGTGATGCAACGCCTCAATCGTGTCGCGGCGACGTCCCAAAGTGCTGCACAGGTGACACCGTCAGGTCCCAGTGACTGTGTATTTTGTAACAATTTTGAATTCTTTGGGGCAAATACCAAATTATATATATGTATATATAATAATATAATCTATAAATACAGATAACACACACACAAACGACTTTGACGCTGTGGCTCTGGTCCCCTCTCTGCTGCACAGTCTGCAGCCCCTCCCCCCGCCCCACTGCCGCCGCGCGTCATCAGAGCGCGACCGCCGGGACAGTGCCTCATCAAAGCGCGTCAGCGAACCAAGCGGCGGCCCCGGCGCAGGCGCACCAGACACCCAGTGAGACACAGACAGGGACACCGCCGCCGCCGCCGCCACCACCAGTCGGTGTGACTGCAGCTGCCGCTGAGCCTCTCGTTACCGATCACCGAGAGCCCCGTGAGCGGCGCGTACTGTTACTGCAATAACAATAACAATGATAATGACGCTCTTCCACCGAGCCTTCCCCCTCCACTCCACCCCCTCCTCCTCCATCCCTCCCCTCCATCCCTCCATCCCTCCCCCTCCTCCCCCCCTCCACCATCCCTCCCCCTCCTCTCCCCCCCTCCACCATCCCTCCCCCTCCATCCCTCCCCTCCTCCCCCCCCTCCATCCCTCCCTCCCTCACCTCCTCCCTCCCCTCCATCCCTCCCCCTCCTCCCCCCTCCATCCCTCCCCCTCCATCCCTCCCTCTCCATCCCTCCCCCTCCTCCATCCCTCCCCCTCCTCCCCCCCTCTCCATCCCTCCCCCTCCATCCCTCCCTCTCCATCCCTCCCCCCCCTCCATCCCTCCCCCCCCCTCCCCCCCTCCATCCCTCCCCCTCCTCCCCCCTCCATCCCTCCCCCTCCTCCCCCCCCTCCATCCCTCCCCCTCCATCCCTACCCCTCCTCCCCCCCTCCATCCCTCCTCCTCCCCCTCCATCCCTCCCCCTCCATCCCTACCCCTCCTCCTCCCCCTCCATCCCTCCTCCCCCTCCTCCATCCCTCCCCCTCCATCCCTACCCCTCCTCCCCCCCTCCATCCCCCCCCTCCATCCCTCCCCCTCCATCCCTACCCCTCCTCCCCCCCTCCATCCCCCCCCTCCCCATCCCTGCCCCTCCTCCCCCCCTCCCCATCCCTGCCCCTCCTCCCCCCTCCATCCCTCCTCCCCCTCCTCCATCCTCCCCCTCCATCCCTCCTCCCCCCCCTCCATCCTTCCTCCCCCCCTCCATCCCTCCTCCCCCCCCTCCATCCGTCCTCCCCCCCCTCCATCCGTCCTCCCCCTCCTCCATCCCTCCCCCTCCATCCCTCCTCCCCCCCTCCATCCCTCCCCCTCCATCCCTCCTCCCCCCCTCCATCCCTGCCCCCCACCCTCCATCCCTGCCCCTTCTCCACCCCTGACCCTTCTCCACCCCTGCCCCCCACTCCCTGTCTGTCCAGCGCCCTGGGACGTCCTCCAGACGTGAAAGGCGCTTGACCAGTCATTTGATACGATGCTTTATCACGTCTTTGAGACGTCTCAAAGCGCTTCATGATGCTTCGCTGTAAAGTTAATTGACTATGATTTATGGGCGAAAGTAATAACGGTATTCATAAAATAATTCAAAATGATCTCAAAGTTGTTTTGTTTTTTACCTTCGCTGTAGTTACCCATTGAAAAAACTTACAAGAAAGGAAATGTGCTGCTGATAGCGCAGGTAAGAGTTTTTAACAAAAAATATATAAAGTAGGAAACAATAATTCAAAAATTAGCTCAAAATTATCTTTTTTACATATACTGTACACATAAAATAATTACAAGAAGAGGAAATGTGCTGCTGAAAGCGTAGGTAAGTGGAGTCTTTTTATATACATAGGGTGACTATATTTTTTAAAACCAAATTCGGGTACAAGCGCAATACAATACAAAATTACATTTGTAAAGCGTCTTTCACGTCGGGAGGACATCCCAAGTTGCTATTGTTGTTGTGAGAGACCCTGAGTCCAGCCTGGTGTCATCATTAAGTTAACAGTGGCTGACACCCAGTGTTATCGCTGAGTTTACTGTACAGTGTTTCTATGTATGTCAGTGACTTGACATCCAGTGCTCTTACTAAGTTTACGGTACAGTATTTCTGTGCACAAGTCAGTGACTGGCAACAGTGTTAATAACAATAATAATAATCTTTGCATTTGCACACCTTATCATGTCTTCAAGACGTCTCAAAGCGCATCACACAATATACTGCAAAGTGAATTGACTGTATATTTTGTGGGCGAAACCCGGCAACCAATTGCGCACAGCAGTGCCCCACAAACGGTTGTTATTGAGTTTCCTGCATTTTTTATGTATGTGGGGCTGACAGTCAGTGGTGTTGTTGAGCTAAGGCCCCACTGGGTCCTTCCTGAGATGAAAACAACAAAAAAATTACACTTGTATAGCGCCTTTCACATCAGGAGGACATCCCAAGACACTGGACAATCAGGGTTTTGGACCAGAGCTGCAGGTCAAGATCAGGGAGAGTGGAGGGCAAGGGTAAAGGAGGGTGACCAAAGGCACAGTCGAAGAAAAGGGTCTTGAAGGAGTCAGGGGAGGGAGGCAACCAGAGGGACTGCAGGGTGGAGTTCCAGAGGGTGGGGACAGAGTGGCAGAAGGCCTATGGAGGGAGGAGTTGGGGAGGCTGATAAGTAGGGAGTTTGCAGAGTCGAGCCTTGATGTTATGATTGTGTGTATGAGGGTCTCGGCGGCCTGCAGCGTGAAACAATGGCGGAGTCAGGTGATGTTGCGGAGGTGAGGGAAGGCAGAGTGGTACATGGCAAGGATATGGGGTAGAAAGTATAGTTGAGGGTCAAACAAGATGCTAAGATTCCGGACTGGCTTAGTAGGTGGAGTGTGCATCTGTGGATGGTGATGCTGTCAGTACCTTAGGTGTGGAGGTGCTGATAGGAGTCAATCAGGAGGGCCTCGGTCTTATTGATGTTCAACTGAAGAAAGTTAGCTCTCATCCAGGACCTGATCCTGGAGTCGAGGGTGGAGCAGAGAGATAGTGTTGGGTGTCATCCGCATACATATGGAAGTTGACCCCATGTCTGTGGATGATGTCACCAAGAGGGAGCATATAGATATTGAAAAGGAGGGACCCCAAGGACAGAGTCCTGAGGAACACCGCACAAGACGGTGCGAGGGCTAGAGGAGAAGCCATTTGTGGAGATGAAGTGGAGATGGTGTGATGTGTAGGATCTGATCCAGTCAAGGACAGAGCCGGAAAAAAGGTTGAGGTGAGAGGAGAGATGGTGGAGGAGTGCAGAGTGGTCAACGATGTCGAAAGCAGCAGAGAGGTTAAGGCGGACAAGAAGGCAGAGGGAGTCCTGGTTGTAGATGGACAAAATGTCATTTGTCACTTTGGCCAAAGTTGTTTCTGTGCTGCGGGTGGCACTGAAGCCCAATTGGAGGGGTTCGTGAAGGGAGTGGCGGGAGAGGAAGGGGCGAAGCTGGGAAGCAACGACTCATTCCAGGATTTGGAGAGGGAGGTTGGAGATGGGGCAATTAGTGGAATGGGTCCAGTGAGTCTGAGCTACAAGGAGTCTGAGAGACTGCGCAAGGTAATGTGTTACATTCTGCACCAGGTGGTAATATGTTATATACTGCACAGGGTAATGTGTTTGACATTGTGCCAGGGAATATGTTAGATACTACACGGGGTCATGTGTCAGATGCTGCTATCTAGGTACGGCTTGTATGCCTGTTGAGATGGATATGATGACAGTGGAGTTTCTTGTGGTGTCCTGATTAACACTCGCCCAAATAAAATTGGTTATTTATTTCATAACTGTTTGTGGAATATTGTTGTGCGTAAATTGGCTGCTGCATTTACTACACTTTACAGTATCACCTGTGAAGCACTTCGAAATGTCCTCCCTAAGATCAAATGTAAGGATTATTATTATTATTGGTTTGTTTGCTGCCACCCAGGTAAAAGCACAGAAAAAATAGTTGTGGGAAAGTGCATTAGTGGACGAGCTATCAGTAACTTTTCCCCTGACCTCTGGAACTCTCTTATGAAATTCCTCCACCTCATCCTCTTTTTCAAAGCTCTCTGCTTCAAAATGCCTCAAAGGATGTGTCCCTTTGACTGCTTTCAACAACCTCCCCCATCTCTTTCTTAGATTGGGCTCCCACTCCGACCTTGTAAAGTACTTTGTGACATTCTACTTACATGAAACGTGCCATAATAGTGCAAATTGCAGTTTTGTGGAATTCTTTGATTGTACTAAATATGAAAAGTTGGCTCCTTCCAACAGCTGCTTTCAAATATTTGTGTTTTCTTCTCCCATTAGTTGATCGGATTGCTGTCTGAATATGGGGGAAACGGATAAAGCCTCGAATGATGCAGCCCAGACTGAATCCAGCATACAAAAAAAAGAAAGGGAGAAAAAGAAGAGATCAAGGGTCAACAAGGTGCTTTCAGAAATAAAGAAGCAGGTTGAGTTTTGGTTTGGTGACGTGAACTTGCACAAGGACCGATTCCTTCAGGAACAGTTACAGAAGTCCAGGGATGGATGTGAGTATAATAATATTCCTTGTATTTGATGTATCGCTTTATCATGTCGTTGAGACATCCCAAAGCGCTTATAAAGTAGATTGACTGTGTATTTTGTGGGAGAAACGTGGCAGCCAATTGCGCACAGCGATGTCCCACAAACAATTGTGGATTGAATTTTGTTTGGGGGGAGGGATTATTACTCCCGGAAAGCGGTCGACTAACAACTAGGTTCCTACTTATTGCTAGTTAAACAGAGGCATAATGGTTTGCCCTGCCCGGGAATTGAACCTGAGTCCTCTCGCTTGTGGGGCGAACGTTTTAACCACTACGCTACAAGACCCCTGTAGTATCGTATCTCTCAGAGTTTAACATTATGAAGGTTTAGGACCCGCATTGTTCCTGGTCTAATAAATCTTTGTTTTTAAATAAAACCCTCCACAGATATTGACCTTTCAGTGCTGACATCATTCAACAAAATGAAAAAACTGACCACAGATGTTAAATTAATGGCTAGGGCATTAAAAAACTCAGAAGTTATTGAAGTGAGTATGAATCATTTCTTTTTATGGTCTTAATTTTTAATCAAAGGATATCTTTATGTAATTTTGTACAATTTGAAAGGTCACATTATTGATCCTTGGTACTGTCTTTCTTGGTAAAACGACTTACAAGGATTTACATTTCTCTTTTTATGCTTGGAAATTTTTTTTGTTTCTTGCCAACATTTCTTCTCCGATATTCTCCTTTCCTTCTTTCTTGAAGGTAATTGACTTATTTTCTTCCTTACACTGGGATGTGATTAAACAAGTACTTTCTTGTGGTACCTTGCCATTAATTGTGTATGAGCTTTGATGGTAGTTTGAGCACTGGAAACATTTCAGTCAAGTCCAATCTTGCCCTCATCCATGTATCTTCAGTATGTGTGGGGGTTCTCTGAATAATGATCGGAAGTAGAAACCATCGCTAATGTTCCTCTCTCCAACAGATCAATTTTAGCACTCCCACTGCTGAGAACTGCTAACTCAGCCCACTTTTGAATTTGAAACTGTGAACTTCTGGGTTAATATAATCCTTTCATTTGATACATTGCTTTACCACATTAATGCTGCAATGGGAATTGCCTTTAGCCACAGGGTTATAAAGGAGCTAAGATGATGCAGTTATCCTAAGGAGTGCTGTTGCTTATTATTACAATAAGGATTGTGTTATCATAATAAGGATCGCTGCTCATATTCCGACGCTTGGGATGTCCTCTCGATGTGAAATACACTATATAAATGCCATTTGTTATTGATCATGATAAAACTTAAATTTGCTATAGCGTCCTTCACATCGAGAATATGTCTCAAAGTGCTTTATTGGTTATACTGTGAAGTGCAGTGACTATTTTGTAGACATACTTATGGCAGAAACAAAGCTTAATACATCAACGTAATGTTCTTCCCACGCATCCCATCCTCTGCTGAAAGTGCTCATTAGACTTAAGTGACCTGTGTCTTGAAAAGCACCGACACACAATGAATGGGCTGAATGATCTGTCTCTGCTGTACTATTCTCTAGTTCTATGATTGAAATGACACTTAGAAGTTGTTGTTTACAGTTGAATGTAGAAGGAACGAAAATAAGAAGACGTCAGGCCTTGGGAGATCGGCCGCAAGATGTTGAGGAGCGCACTGTTTATGTGGTATGAAAGATCATAATTTTTTTTACCCTTATTTTCAGTACTTTGTCCTCATCAATGTATTAAAAATCTGTTGATAGGAACAACTCGCACAAGTTAGCATAGTTTCTAACAGAAATGATGACTGGTTGCTCAAAGGTTCCCGGACACCTTCAACAATGGCCATTTAACGTTTTGCTTATGTTTAGCAGATTGATAGTACAAATTGTAATATGGTGCAATTTTTCCCATCTGCGCACCCCCAGCACTGCATTGGAGTGTCAGCCAAGACAATGAGCTCAAAATCCTGATGTGGGGTTTAAACCGCAAATCTTCTGACTTAGAGGCGAGAGTGCTGCCAACTGAGGCCGGTTGACAACTACATATTTGTGCATGAATTTTCCAATGTTGAATGGAAATGAGGAGCAGTAATTACAGATGATTTTGCCCTTCCTGGCCTACTAAGAAAGCTCCTGCTGCTGTCTTAGTCAACTAACCTAGCGCAGGCCAGGCATTGCACTTGTGATTCAGGTTCAGAATGGGCTGTGGTTTTGGCAAATGAACAGTTTGGAAAGCAATATGAAGGGTTTTCAAAAGCGAACACTTGTACCAGTGGAACTGCCCTGTTTATGTTGGACTGAGAGTAAAGCAACATAGCTACAACATCATTCTTCTAGCAGAGTAACCTCTGCCTTAAATTATCCTATTATAGCTATCTTAAAGTTGAACTGAATAGAAGTCGGAATTAGTTTTCAAATGAGTTTGTCGAGAATAGTTTGAGTGTGTTTCCGATGAATTTATTATGTGGCCAAAAAATGAAATTTGACAAGCAGTATTTAACTGGCATATGCAAAGATGTCTTATATATTTTTTAAAAAAATGACATTTAAAAACCTAATTTTTTGTTTAATTTTTTACATTTTAGGAGTTGCTACCCAAAAACGTCTCACATGGTTGGATAGACCGAGTATTCAGTAAATGTGGGAACGTGGTCTATGTCAGCATCCCTCGGTACAAAACGTCTGGTGATCCAAAAGGATTTGCATTTGTGGAATTCGAAACTATAACCCAAGCACAGAAAGCCATAGAGGTAAAAAAAAATCATTTTGAAATTCAGTAATGATGCATTTTATTTATTGATGGAGGTGTTTTTTTTAAAAAAAACTTTTACTTTAGGGAGGTACAGGGCTTCTACAGGGCAAGAGGAGGGACAACTGCACAATTTTTTAAGACAATCTTAAATGACCTTTTTTAACTAAAGTAAGCAATCAAGTGCTGCAGAAAGTTGGATGAATGCCAACTTTCTGCAACTGAACATGGTCAAGATGGAAGCCTTTCTCCTGTCAATATCTTCTCACCTGCATTTCTGGAATCCTTAACCATCCTTGCCTATCTCTCAGAATCTCCAAACCTGTACACAACCCTGCCGTCTGGTTCGTTCCCCAGTTGTCCTTCCTAACCCACATCCAGTCCCTGACCAGAACTGCTTTCCTCCACCTCCACCACATCACCCACCTTCAACCCTACTTTGCATCAAACACTGCTAGCACCCACTCCTCTACCCACCACCTTCACTCAGCTATCTCCAATATTCTGTATGTCCCTCGTCCCCTCTGCTTCATAATTGGCTGCTGTGCTTTCAGCCACTATGCCCCGAATTGCTAGAATCCATCTCAATCCCTCCATCTTGCCTCCTTGTTGTCGATCTTCATATCACACCTGAAGACTTTCCTCTTCAACCGTGCCTTCAGTCATCTCACTTCCGTTTCCTGTTTGACATCAAGCCATGCTGCTGTTACGCTGTCCGAGATGTGACACGGGTGAAGGGTGGTCTATCAATACAAGTTGTTGTTGCTGAAACCCTCATCAACACTTTCGAACCTCCCACCAAAAATGTTTTATCCACTGCACTCCTAGCCAGTTTCCCCTGTTCCACTGTTACCTGCAGGGTGAAATGTTGGGCAAGTTTCCTTACTCCACACGTCTCTACCTAGCAGTAAGTAGGAACCTGGTTGTTAGTCGATTGGTGGATCATTTTTCCGGGGATAATAATCCCTCAAAAAAAAACAATAATAATTTGGTCACTCAATCCACAACTGTTTGTGGGACACTGCTGTGCACAATTGGCTGCCGCGTTTTGTCCACAAATATACAGTCAATTCACTTTACAGTATATTCTGTGAAGCGCTTTGAAACATCTAGAAGACGTGAAAAGCGCAATATCAAATGCAAGGATTATTATTAGAAAGAGGGTTTGAATGATACAAAATTCTGCCGCCCATGTTTTTGCCCGTAGCAGGCTCCGCACCCCCATCAACCCATTCCTTGCCAGACTCCATTGCCTTCCACTGGCTCCCTCTTACAAAATGGATTGATTTCAAGGTCTTCACTCTCATTTTCAAATAATTTCATGCCCTAGCATTTCCCTATCTTTTCACACCCCACACCTCTATCCTGCGCCTTCGCTCAGCTTGTTCCATCGAATCATAGAATGTTTACCAGAAGCCTATTTGGCACATCATGTAAGTTGGGGGAGATGGTGCTAGCTTCCCCCATTTGAGCTATTTACTCTTGATTCAATTCCTTTATTCTTTTTCCATATCCTTCAATGTTACTTTACTCAATTATTTATCCCATACCCTTTTAAATACTTTTATGGACTTGGCTTCAACAACTATTTATAGCAAAGCATTCAATGTTCTTAGCGAAGAAAATGCTCTTTGTGGTTGCGGTTTCCTTTCTGGAATGGGATAATGCCTGCTCAGAAATTGAACCCAATACACCCAACAACAACCAACAAAGGCTTGTACAAATGTAACACTGTCTCCTTGTTCTGTATCCCAAACTCCAGATATATAAAACCTAGAAATCCATTTGCTATATTTATGGATATCTACTGAAACTCCCACTTTGGTTGCTCATTTCACCCTCCATTTAATTTCCGGTATCCTTTGCGGAAGTGAACTGTTTCTAAGAGTATCGCTGAAGAGTCCATTCAATGAATCGGCTTGTTCGAAGTGGGGCAAGCGTGAGATGGAACAAGGAAAATTATATTTCTGCAATAGTTAGTTGAGGAATGGTCTGGAAATTCCTGCAGGTTATGTCATTCACAAACTCAAGCTATTATTATCGTCTCCCAAGGTGTTGAATAATCCTCCAGAAGATGCACCAAGGAAACCTGGCATTTTCCCCAAGACAGTAAAGAACAAACCAGTTACTGTAATCAGCTCCAGTGATTGCAGTGCTAATGGTATGTACCAACTGATGATATAGCAGCCAATAACTTGATTGTATTTTAAGTTGCTCACTATTTTAAAATTATTTTATACTCTTTCCCTTCTATGACATTTGTTTTGGCATAAAAGAGGAGTGAAATAGTTAAGTAAAGTGAATTTAACTACAGTATTTTGGACTCCTGTAGTTTAGTGGTTAGAGCTCTTACCTCACAAGCGAGAGGACCTGGGTTGGATTACCAGGCAGGGCGAAACATTGGAGAAGCTTCCTTACATCACACGCCTCTGTTTACCTAGAGGGAATTAGGAACCCGGTTGTTAGTCGAGTAGCGGATCGCTTTTCCAGGGGTAATAATCCCTTCAAAATAAATAAATAAATATTAATAACTTGGTCACTCAATCCACGACTGTTTGTGGGACACTGTTGTGCGCAATTGGCTGTCACGTTTCGTCCACAAAATATACACTCTATTCACTTAACAGTATATTCTATGAAGTGCTTTGAGATAAGGCGCTATATCAAATGCAACGATTATATTTATTATTATAATTTAAATCCATTTAATGGCATACGTTATTCCAGCAGGGGTCACTAAAGAGCCATTAACAGCAACAATTTGCACTTAAAATGCCTTTCATATCCATGGCATGACCCGTCCTGCGTTCCCCCACCTCCGTAATATTGTCCACCTCCACCACCACCTCTCCCCTTAGGTTACCAATAATAATAATAATAATCCTTGCATTTGATATAGCGCTTTTCACGTCAGGAGGACGTCCCAAAGCGCTTCACAGAACACACTGTAAAGTGAATTCTCATCCATGCTTTAATTATGTCCAGGCTTGACTATGCTAACTCTCTGCTCACCAGACTTCTCAACTCTTCCCTCCACAAGCTGCAGATTATTCAGAATTCTGCAGCTCGTGTCCTCTCCCGCACTATGACCTTCCCCAGGTTCGCTAGCTCCCCATTTCTCCAGAGGATCGAGTTTAAGAGCCACAAGGCTCACTCTTGTGGACTATTTAATTTATTTAATTTCTACTAGCTATTTATTATTTATATCCCCTCCCCCCTTGGTTTGGATTCACCAACAAGGTGAAACAGTCTATTAATATCCACCTTATAAATCATTTTGTGATTTCAAACACTGCAGAAGTGTTGCACCTGGCCTGACACATTCTATTTCCATCTTATTATTTGAGGAAACAATTACATCACTGCTTTGCCAGAGTTCTTATTTTTAAGTATCATTTTGATCTGCGTTTCAGATGAGAAGAAGAAAAAAAAGAAAAAGAAATCACGGAGCAAGACTGAAAACCCCAGCCGGTCTGCAGCAGAGGCAATGGAACATTCCCATAGAGAAACAAGCACCGAAGTCTTGGAAAAGGAGAAAGGGAAAGGGAGCAGAGCCACTTCAGACTGCTCAGAAACCGATGGGCACAGGAACATTTCGTCAAAAGGGGAGTCAAGGAAAAGGGATAAATCTGCAAGCACCGAATCCTGTGAAGAGAGCAGAGCGAGGAAGCGAAAGAGAAGTCCTGAAAAACAAGACGGAGTGTCTGCAAAAGTGAGGAAAACAAGTGACAAGGGCAGCTCCCGCCGAGAAAAGGAAAAGAAAGCAGCACGAGAAAAGGAGACTAAAGGTGAATTTTCTTTCTCTAAACTGTATGGATCGCTAATGGATAATGGTGACTGATGCATCTCTGCTAATAATAATACTCCTTGCATTTGATACAGCACCTTATCACATCTTAGAGATGTTTCAAAGCCCTTCACAGGGTATACTGTGGAGTGTAGTGACTGTGCATTTTGTAGGCGAAACGCAGCAGCGAATTGTGCATAGCAGTGTCCCACAAACAGTCATCGATCGAGTGACCCAATTATTATTTTTTGATGCATCACAGATCCAAAGACCATTTCAGACTTGTCCTAAATCCGTCATAAAATTTTATAGGTGGAGGTGTAGGGGCACAACACGAATATTTGTAGGTGACACAGAAATAAGGAGCATCTCAAACTGATTTCAGTGTAATACCACCATTCGTGGCCAAGCTTGAAACCACTATTCCCCTAATTTGGAAATCTCTCCCCAAATCCCTTTGCCTTGCACCTCCCCTCTCTGCTTTCAATCTTTTCTAAATACTTACCACTTAAACCTTGCCTTCGGCAACCTCCTTCCTTACCCCCACTTAATCTAGTTTCCCCTGGTTCTGTAAAGTACTTTTGAGATACTGATCAACCTGAAAAGCACTATAAGTGCAAGTTGCTGCTGACGAGTCAATTCATAGAGCAGATAGATGGCAGATGAAGTTTTAATGCAGAAAAATATTTTGGAATGATAGGAAATTTGGAAGAAATCTAGGGGCTCAGATGCTCAAATATTTAAATGTGGGACAGCAAGTTGACTAAACTAAGAAATCTATTATAACAATCCTTGTATTTGATATAGCTCCTTATCACGTCTTCGAGACATCTCTAAAGTCCTTCACAGAATATACTGTAAAGTGAATTGACTGTATATTTTGTGGGCGAAACACAGCAGCCAATTGGCACAACAGTGTCCCACAAACAGTTGTGGATTGAATTGGGGTCTTAGATTTTATAAACGAAGCACGAGTGCACAGAAGCAAAGAATTTCATATCACACAGCACTGAACTAGGCAATTTGGCCCAGCTATTGCAAAATGTGATGATTATTATGTTTGTGCAAGTATTTATGCCCGGTCAGGTATCAGTCCTCCTTTTTTCCCCTCCACTTCTTATCCTTGCCCCTTAGTCCTCTATTTTTATCTCCCTCATTAAGAGATAAGTACTAAACGTGTACAAATCATTGGTTAGGCCTGTTGGGATTTTTGTTAGGCTTGTTGGATATTTCTACGTTTTGCGCACTCTATTTTAGGAAGGATGTCAGAGCCATGGAGAGGGTTTAGAAATCACTCGAAATCAAGAATGAGGTTTAGTTCTGAGAGTTGTTTTTACTGGAACAGAAAGTTGGCAGTTCTACCACTTGTTGGCTAAGCCAACTAAGAAGATGCTCAAATTTGAAATGAAATGATCATTTTATTTCCAAGATGCTTCGACAGAAGATGAGCGAGGTTCTGGAGATAAGAAGGACGAGTCCATGTCTAAGAGCAAGAGGAAGCGGAAGAAGAAACACAAGGATAGACACAAGCTGGAAGAAGAAGTCATTCCTCTCAGAGTATTTTCCAAGTAAGTTAAATTAATCATACAATTAAGGGGGGAATTTAGTCAAATGTAATTACCCCTCCCAGACTGCAGGGTAACTGCTTTAATGTATCATTTGTTCACCTATGAATATCGTCGACCTGAGAATTTTGTTTCATTAGATGCCCACATGCATATTTTTCACCATGGAGAAAGGGTATCACTTGATGGAATCAAGATTTGACCTTTACAGGTCTCATATATCCCATTGTAGCACTAAATTAAATTAGTATTATTTGGGAAACGGTAAAGTCTACAGCTATCCTGTAATGTTGAAAAGGGAACCTCCTAAATTCAGTGTTAATCTACTGGCAATAAAACGATTGTTTCCACCTCGGGGTGGAACAATGTAGGGGGAACAATTGGGTGTCGCTTATGATGTCATTCATCTTCATTTAATTTCTGAATACAGGGGTTTTTATAGTGTTTGATAATGGTAACATGTTTGAGTGAACCACATATGGTTGCTTTCCCCAGAGCCATTGCTAGTTCCTGTAAATCAAACGGACCCACAGGCAAGAGAATCAAACCTTCAGATGTAGGTAATTTGGGTTCCTTGTTTAGCTGAATCTTCATTTTAATTCTAGAAGAGAAGGTGAATTTCGGGAATTTACATGGATCATGGATTCATTGAATGGGAACACATCGTCTAAGATGACACTACAATGCAGGGCTGGGGGTAGGGAGGTTGCAAGGTCGGAAATTGACAGAAAGGACAAAAATGATTGTAGTTTTGAACTCCTCGCCCTATGTCGGAACTTTCAATTTATACAGTCTGGGCTGACACTCCAGTGAGGTGCTGCATTGTGCTGTGTTGTCAGAGATGTTCATCCTTTGGACGGGACGTTAAACCAAGGTACTGTCTTGTCTGCCTGTGGAAGTTAAAGATCCCATTGCATTATTCGATCATAAAAGAGTTTCTCCCAGTATCCTGCAAAAAAATTGGTAATCATTTCAGCAACAACTTGCAGCTCTACAGTGCCCCTCATGCAGGGTAGTGTCCCAGAGCACTGACAGTGGCTGAGCAAACATCAGGGAGGGGGGAGGTGATCATAGGCAGTCAGAGGAAATGGGGCAAGGGGAGTTTAGGTAAAGGTTGAAATCACCCATTATGATCAGGGGTTCAGTTCAGTGCAGAGGGAGAAAATGTCAGAGATGAAGAAACCAGGCGGTTTGGGAAGACAATAAATGAGGATTTTGAAGCAGAGGGGGTGAATGGTACAGGGTTAAGTGTTCAAAAGATGGGAAGGAGCCGGAGGAATAGTAGAGCCAGGGGAAGTTTGGGCAGAGGTTGAGGAAGTGAAAGGTGTATCCAGAGTGGGGGCTTCAATCAAGGGACAGAATCACCGGGGGACAGCCAGATCTCAGTGAGTCCAAGAATGTCCATGTTCCCCTTCAGGATGAGTCATGGATCAGGAGGGCTTTAAGACATTTTGAAGAGAAAGTCAGCAAGTGGGAAACTGGCTCTAGGGGAGAAGAGTGAGTGCCAAGGCCTAGTGGAGGATTGGCCAAGCCGGAGCAGAGGATGGCCAGTGATGGGGTTCAGGAGAGGAGGGTGGTGGGAGAGAAGGACCGAGAAGGGGGAGCATTTCTGCGGGGGTGGGAGGGCGCATTTCTGGTCAGGGTTCAATGCGCACGCAGAGACCGGGAGCTAGGTGGTCAGCCCGCAGGCCGGAGGGACGTTGTGCCAGAATCACTTTACAGTAAATCCTTTTATTGCTTTGGATGCAATGTGAAAATTTCAGCAAAACAATTGTGAGTGTAATTTTTTAAAACCGATTACATGTGTTTTATTATCAGACCCCAGATCATTTCCAGGGCAGTAAACCTCACCGTACGTCTCCCACGAGATCTATAAGAATATAGTCTAGAAGTAAAAATGCAAGAGTTCATAGAAGTAGAAGGCTGAAGTGCAATTAGAACTAGAAATAAGATGGCGAACCAGAATCCAAAAGACCTGGTTTAACAATCCTCCAGCAGCTCAAGCAGCTCCCAAACTTTTTTCGTGCTGAACCTTCCCTTCGGACAATATTGTCGCATGTGCCTTCTGAGGCCTGGCCTCTTCGGACAATTGACTTCCTCACTTTCCTTCCCCCCCCCCCCGCCCACCAACACACTCCACCCCACCACAAGTATGAACCCATTTACAGCATGGCCTCTGCTGGTTGCAGAGGGTTGAAACACCTCCCTAATTTAAGCGCCTTGGGAAGTTTTAAAAGTGTCTGATGTGAAAAGTGGACAAGTAAAAACAAAATCGTAGTTGTAAATCCATTTATTTTTAAAATCCGACAAGAAACAAAGCAACAGCTTTCCATCATCAGTTTACAGGACAAGAATGAAAAGATTGGCTTCTTGCCAATAACTTCTTATTTGTGCATTTAAGAACACCAATATGAAGCACTTACTGGAAGATAAAAACAGCAAGCCTTCCATCTTGGTGCTTCCAAATTACACTATTGCTGCTCCTAAGATGAAATTCTTTGTACATCTGTAGATTCTTCTGTAGAAATCCTGAGAGGAGAAATCCTGAGAGCAGCAAGTTTTCACAAGAGGCTCTGCAGCATTAAGACTTTATTTAGAAACTATATTGGAGCACAAGAACATTTTATTGCAAAAAGCATTAAATAACAAGGTTTTAGTGCTTAAGAAGCAAACCAGGTACAAGTTTACAAATTCTGTTGGGAAGAAGTTTTACAATTTGTCTATGCTCTAGAAATCCCAACATGGGAGCACTTACTTAGTAAGGTTGCAAGAACTCACATGTTAGAGGCTCTAAAACACAGGACGTGACAAAACGGCGTTTTATGGTGCACAATAAGTTCATCTGACTCCAGAAATCCCAACATAAAAGCACTTACTAGAGCAATACACAGCATGTGCTAGCATGTTGGGAGCTCTTGGCACAGCTCAAAACATCCGGCAACACGATCCAGGATTTTTCTGAATTACCAATGGGTCATTTGTTCTACAATAGAAATCCCAATATGATAAGCACTTACTTCATCTTGGATACAGCAAGTACTTGCATATCGGGATCACTAGGTCACAGGTCATTGACGTTAAAATTGAGGAAGAATTGTAGTAGAGTTGTATACTGGAATTCGTATAAAGGTGCACAGAACACACCAGGTTCTGCGTGAAGTAAATCTGCACAGTAGGAACACCAGTAATGTCAACGTCTGAAAAGACACATAAAAGGTCAGTATTATTTACAGAGAATAAACAGAAAGCATCCCACCTCAGAATTGAGTTTAAAATTAGCACCAACATTGAACCGAGCATTGTGCTTTGGCTAATTTACCAGGACAGCGCTTGCATCTTACGAAAGGATTTTAAGAAAATAAAAGCTAAACTTGCCGAGTATTGTACACACTTGAAAAGGCTTCCCAGGATGAGAATGCATTCTACAGTTTCCCTAACAGAAAAGCACTTACTAGATCCTTATAAAGGAAGGCTTTACTGTTAGGCGAGCTGGAGAACACAAATTCAAAACATTTCTTGGGTGTGCATACCAAACCTGTAAACTAGAGAACCGAACATACGAGTACTTACGTGACTCAACAGCAAGTCTCATTTGTTGAGAGTAACTAGTAACAGCACTGAATTTTGCATTATGGCCATCACACCTTTTGGTTAAATGCATCATACTAAAACCATCCAGATCAATAGGCTCTCAAATTTACAGTGAAAAACATTCTCATTAAAACTGCTGTATCGATACGTAACAAGGCAGTAAGGTTGGAAAGCTCATTAAAATAAGAGAACATTTAGAAGAAATTATATTACATGCAAAATTCCAGTATTCTATACATGCTCATGTACCTTTTACAACGTTATTGATGGCAACTAGCCACTTGCCATCAATAACGTTGTAAAAGGTGGCTTTTTAAGGTTTGGGAGGGAAAAAGGGAGCAGAGAAAATAGTACAATTTCCTTTACCAACAATCCAGATTATTTTTCACAAAATGACACACCAGTGTTGCATTGGAGAATGAAGGTACTGTACAGTGCATCACCATTGCTGAAGTGCAATACCAGAACAGAGAAACAGCATTGCACGATCGCAGTGGTGGTACACCATAGGTGCTATGGTGAAAGAACAATTCATATTTTTGCTCTTAAAGTATATATGTAGCAGAATAAGCAATCTACTTGTTGCTTCTAACTCCACATTGGGTTTCCAAGCAGTCACCCCACTTGGAAAAGCATCCAAGTTAGAATTAAATACCTCAAAATTAAAATTGCAGAATATAGAAACACAGCATCGCATAAAATAAAACACTTGCTGAAATTTCGCTTAACAGAAATGCCTGGCTAAAACGGTGGTCCAACTTTTAGTACATCCTTTTTTTCTCCTTTTCTGCATTGGCGTAAACCTGAAATTTTAAGCACCATGTTAATGTTACTTTAAGAAAAGCACTGAAATAAATACACAAGGGCATTTGCTTGCTAAAAGTTTCCCCCAAGAATTTGTGGAAAAATAACAAGACAAGAAACACATGTTGGCACTAGCGAAGGTTTTAAAATGAAGAATCAAGCACCCACTGCCACTTCAACATAAAAGCACTTACTCAATTATATCACAGAAAGGCTTCTATGTTGACGTAGCAGGCGACACACAAAAAGATTTTGCTCCTTCTAGTTAATGATGAAATCCAAACTCTGGTTCCATGGATCACAGTTACAAACTCCCAACTGTATAAACCCCAAGGTAAACACACAACCTAAAAATACAAGTAACGCTTGCTACATGCTTGCACTTACGTCATCCTTGTCGATCCATCTGGTCTTCGAGGCTACTGTTCCCTGTGACTTCTCAGTCACTGATATTTATATATCTTTCATCCTCTGATTTTAATTAGGCACCTTTTCTTAAGGGGACGGTCATTTGCATTTCCATTGTCTAGTTGGTGTATCTAAATCTGTTTGCCTCAATGGGTGGTGCTAGCATGTTAACAAGCTGTAAATGGCAGAACTTAGAGCCATCACAAGAAGACCCAGGGCCTTTCTCAATTCCTGCTTTTGTTCAATGGCATTAGATAGTCTGCACAATGATACATTAACACACAATTTTTTGTAGACAATGTGGCACAGTTAGCTATTATTCTGAACATTTCCAGTTAACTATTAAACTGTTTTTCAAGGGTGAAAATTCACTTGCAAACTGGCTTCCTCCCAGAAACCGTTAGTTTGAAACGTTTCAGAGAGAAACTCCTCGGTTGCAATCCATTATTTGACAAATCGTTGTTTCGTGTACTTTGGATAAAATGTTTATTGGTGTGGAATGCTGTATTCTGAAACTAAAACAGTAGAAAATGCTCTGCTTTAAAATGACTCGAGGATGATCCTGTCTGAACTTCTCAGTTGCACATGTTAGCGTTAAATGCAATAACAACAACCTGCATTTATATATATTGTACAGGTGTTAAGCACATTGTGGTGTGGAACAAAAAGATGAATCTAATTTTGTATTACATCACTACACTGGAGTGTCGAAAAGTCCAACACAGGGTGAAGTGTTCACAAGCTCTAATCTTGTTATACTTTGTGCCAATTTTTCCATATCTTCCTTGAAGGCCTTTGACTCTCCCACATCCCACCATCGTTTCAGGGGGAAAAAGTGTACGGGAAGAAACTTCACAGAAGAATTGAAAATTCCTGCCAATCTATTGACACCACAACATAGAATTATAGATATTTTTTGTGATGATACGAATAATCCTTTTTATGTATTTTTTTCACAGGAAAGAGTGGATAGATTTGAAGCAGGAATACTTAAAACTACAGAAGGCCAGCATGTCCAATCTCAAGAAAACAATGTTACAAATCAAACAGCAAAATGAGGGTGAAACAATGGAGGTGACAGACAAAGTCAAACAGGAACTTGAAAATGGTAAAGGTCAGTATCTTTGAATCCATCCCCTGTGAGTTTTACCCAAACTGTTCGCAACCATTTCTTTTTCCTCTTTTTTTTCTGTACCTCTCTCATGAAGGCATTTGACAAACCGCTCCCAACTACCACGGTTGATTCCATCAATACGCTCCATTATCTTGCCCAAGATGTGAGCTTGACCATGTATATTTGTATGTGTTTTGATGAAAGCAGGAGTGGGGGTCCCAACCAAGGTTGATCCTTGCCCTCAGCAGGGGTTACTAGATAACGAACAGTGTATGTATAGTCTAGCTGATTTTTTTTGAATTGTAGCACCCTGGAACCTTCCACATTCTGTGCAGGTCAACTACTCGCTAAATAAACTCACGGAGCCATGGAGGAACCTATCCAACAAGCACTTTATCTCATGAGAAACCTGATTTTCCAATGTGTATTTGCAACAGTACATGCATTGTGCCAAAGAACAATGGGATGCTTTTTCATGTGGTGAGTTACTGATTATCCCCTTGCCATCTGAGAGAAATTGTTGAACAAAGAGCTTTGAGATGTCGTCCTGAGGTGAAAGGTGCTACATCAAATTATTATTACAATTCGAGAACATAAATTTTTTGCTGAGCTGCACAGAGTGCATTTTAGTCCCATTTTATATTTCATTTGCAGCTTCAGACCAATCTTTTGTGAATAGTGTTAGGTCATTTACTGTGATCATCAACACTCCTTACTTCATTAAAGTCCGTTTGCTTTGAGTCTGCACAACATGAGACTTGGCTTGGGTTAAAATGGCTGTGGACTGCGGACAAATATTTGTGCAGAACAGCAGGTTTCCTAGAGAGGACATCTTTCTGCCTGGTTTGTGCCAGGATTGCAACAGTAAGAGCATTGCTGGCTCTCTGGCTGTGGAGTCCCATAGTGTAGTACTTAGTATACTTGCAAGCGAGAGGACACAGGTTCGATTCCCCGTTAGAGCGAAAACTTAGGCAAGTTTCCTTAGTCCACGTACTTCTGTTTACCTAGCGATAAGTAGGAACCCAGTTGTTAGTCAATTGGCGGATTTCATTCTGGGGATAATAATCCCTCTGAAAAAATTGGGAAACAAAGGGCAGGATTTGAGGGGCACGGCTGTGCACAATTGACTGCTTTGTTTCATCCACAAAATATACAATCAATCGACTTCACTCTGTATCCTGTGAAGCGATTTGAGACGTCTCAATTACATGATAAAGGGCTACATCAAATGCAAGGATTATCATTATTATTTCCCGCCATCGGACCCTGTACATAGTGAAATGAATTCCAGGCATGTGTAGTGTCTCAACATGTCTGCACGCCAGCATTGTGAATCCCAAGATATGGTTGTGGATGCTCTTCTGATTTAATTCTGATATACACACATTTGCTTCCAGTGTGCAATGAGCTTGCAAGGTGAAACATTAGTAAGGATTAGCTCTATTTTGCAGTTGGCTGCTAGTGCTGTGGATTTGATCTGCTTACACTGCAGGGAAGAATGCATGCCAATGGGGCGAACACTAACTTTTACGCAAACACAAAACAAGAACAACTGTTGCCAAAGTAGCAAACTGATTTTAGATTTGGCCATCCATCGTCTCCATTCTGCAAGTTTTTGCATTGCCAGCCTTGTACAAGAGGACCGAACTCTTATTGTGCATTAAATTATGTTTTCACTTCTCCCCTCCTCTCCTTTAGGTGCTTATTTCTTTTCATTTACTGGGATACAATTCTATAGATGCTAGTCACTCTCCCTCACCTCACACAAGTGGTCACTATCAATGTGTATCCTAGCTCTTTGGCCTTAATTTTCAAAATCATCGCCCTCGCCTACAAATCCCTCCATATCTTAGCACATCTCTATTACACTGATCTCCATTTATCCCTATTCCTCAGCTTGGCTAACTCAGGTTTGCTGTGCGGCCCCCACTCTCTCCATCAGTGGCTGCTTTCAGATCCTAGGCCCCTGACCTTTTCAACTCCCTCCCTCTTCGTTTTAAGTAGTGCCATAGGATCTTTAACATTAACCTGAACAGGGAGACGGAACCTAGGTTTAAAGTCTTATCCAAAGGATAGCATATGGGGGAGCACTCGCTTTGCACGCGAGAGACCTGAGTTCAATTCCAGGCAGAGCGAAACCTTGGGCAAGTTTCCTTACTCCACACAGAGCCTAATAATAATCCCTCCAAAATAAAACAATAATAAATTGGTCATTTTCAATCTACGACTGTTTGTGGGACATTGCTGTGCGCAATTGGCTGCCGCGTTCGCCCACAAATATACAGTTAATTCACTTTACAGTGTGTTCTGTGAAGCGCTTTGGGACGTCCTCCCGACGTGAAAAGCGCTATATCAAATGCAAGGATTATTATTATTATTATCCAACAATGCAGTGCACTCACAACACTGCATTAGAGTTTTAGTCTGGACTGAGTTCAAAGTCTGGACATGACACTTGAACCCACAACCTTCTGACTTGGAGGTGCGAGGGCTACCAACTGAGCTAGGCTGACACCTAGATCTAGATTTATAATAATAAATAAGCCTTGCATTTGATATAGCGCTTTTCGAGTCTTCTAGATGTCTCAAAGCGCTTCACAGAATATACTGTAAAGTGAATTGACTGTATACTTGTGGGCAAAACAGAGCAGCCATTGCGCAAGTGTCCACAAACAGCTGTGGATTGAAGTGACCAATTTATTATTTTTTTCTTGAGGGATTATTATCAGGCATGTGGAGTAAGGAAACTTGCCCAAGGTTTTGCCCTGCCGGGAATCGAACCCAAGTGCCTCGCTTGCGAGTGCTCTGACCACTAAGCTACAGGACTCCATGAGTAAATAGAAATTTATTCTAAATTTATTCTATTTACTTAGCATTTCAGAGTCCCAAATGTTGGTAAATTCTTTACAAAGCCTTAATTTTGAAGCCACCTTTGAGAACTTCAGAAAACCAATTTCAAAGTTAAGACTAATTCAACAATTTGCCAAATTCTACACGCTTGGTAAAATGCTACATGAGTAAATCTAGACTCGGGTTAATTTCTACCCACATTTCCATAGAAAACTAATTATATTATTTTTGACTTGAGGGAAACAGAGTCCATTATTTCACATTTCACTGTGAATATTTTCAACCAAATTGCTGAGAGGGTTGAAAAACTTTATTCAAAATGCAACCATAATGAAGCAACAAGTAATGGCAGGTAATTTAAAAGTGTGAAGAATCTTGAGGTAGGTGCTGCTATCTCTCCAGACAGGCAGAGAGGTGTTAAAAGAACTGTGGGTCGTAATTCAGTACCATAATAGCTTATGCTGATGAAAGCACCAAATCTTTGCTTTCTGTCATTTCCTGGGATGTCATCACGGAGCTAATACTTTTGATACATTTGGTTTAACGTAGTTGTGGTACTGACTTATCTCTGTGACATATCAAATACAAAAGGCCCTTTTTATGTTCTGTTGCTGTTGTGGTGCTGCTGTTGCTGCTGCATATTGCTGCTTTTTATACAAGGAATTTGTCTCAAGAGGCAACTGGTACAATGGCTGGATTTCCTGACTTCAAATTGTGTAAGATCTGACCTTATGTCTCTGCCCCCCCACCATCCCCCCCCCACCCACCCACAGACACACATAAAAAAGAGAATAATAATTATCCTTGTATTTGATATAGTGCCTTTCTTTCACTTGAGGAGATTGTCTCAAAGCACTTCACAGGATTTATGACAACCACATATTGCATTTATATAGCGCCTTTCACATTGGGAGGACATCCCAAGGTGCTGGACAATTGAGGGTTCGCACCTGATCTGATGGTTGCATTTCGGATGGGTGGATTCCAAGGGCGGTGGGGGGGAGATGACTAACGTTTTGGTCAAAGAGGAAAGTCTTGAGATGAAACTTGAAGAAGGCAAGGTGGGAGAAAGTGGAGATCTCCGCAAATCTCAAAGCAAGTGAAAATGTGGTGAGGAGGGGAAGGTTGGAGCAAAGTTGTGTGATTTTCTTTAGGGGTATAATTTGCAGCCTCTGATAATGTTACTTAGTGGAATTCACAAAACAAAATTTACTGGAGTGGCCTGAAGAAGTACTGAGACTTCATGCAATATAAAAACAACTACCTCTTTTTCATGCCAGTTTCTGAATTCGGAAATTACAAAGTGAAAGCAGTATAAATAAAATGGCGCTTTTGTGGGAATCCTGTGGCCACTTCAAGGTCACAGAATCAAGAGTGAAACTTGGGTGCTAGATATATGATTAAAAATTGTTCTTGATCAGCTGACATGTAGAAACCTATTATCATGCTTTAGACTAGAGTATCTAAACCAGACTGAGTTACACATACAGTAACCCCGGCTTGCCAGGTGGACTCCAGGTATCTGGAAATCGAACCCTCTAGAGCTTAATGATGAGTCTGGCTGGTCTGTCATCAGCAATCCCCAAGAGTACTGCAGACCTGCCTGGTTCAGGAATTGGACTACCGAGACTGGCGTACAGAATTGACTTGATTCTGACATACCATTGCCAAGTGTGTCACCTTGGAGCCAGCTTGAAGGATTTCAAAAAGAAATAAAACAAGTTTCTGGATCCTTGACAGGAGGTAAACAGAGCCTCCTTTGTGCCAAGATGACTGCAATGGGATATTAGAATCAAGTCAATGTTCTTGGTTGTCCTGTACCAGGCAAGTCCACAGTACTACAAGGCACTTATAATAATCATAATCCATGCATTTGTAGATGAAAGTGGCAGCCAATTTGTGCGCACCATTGATCCACAAACCGCTATGAAAGTAATGAGCATGTTTTTTATTTAGGAGATTGATGGATACTGGGAAAAATGCTCTTTTTTTGAATAGCGCCATGAGTTTGTTAATGTGCACCCAAGTAGGCAGAAAGAACAACAACTTACATTTATATAGCACCCAATATAGTGTGTCAGCCTAGCTCAGTTGGTGGTACTCTTGTCTCTGAATCAGAAGGTTGTGAGTTCAATCCTGATGTTGGAACTTGCAACTCATATAGTCTTGGCTGATACTCCAATTCAGTACTGGGGGTGTGCTGCAATTGTTGGAGGTGTCGTGCTTCAGAGAAAATGTTAAACCAAGGTTCTGTTCGTGATGTGTTTCTGAATTGTAGAGTCCTGTAGCTCGGTGGTAAGAGCAAGGGCCTCTCAAGACCTGAGTTTGATTCCCAGTAAGGCGAAATGCTGGGCAAGTTTCCTTACACCACACACCTCTGTTTGCCTAGCAGTAAGTAGGAATACGGTTGTTAGTGATTGACGGATCACTTTTACGGAGGTAATACTTACTTTAAAAAAATTGGTCATTCAATCAACGACTGTTTGTGGGATACTGCTGTGCGCAATTCACTGCTGCGTTTCGGCCACAAAATATAGGCAATTCACTTTACAGTATATTCTGTGAAGCCCTTTGAGATGTCTCGATGATGTGATAAGGTGCTAAATCAAATGCAAGTATTATAATATGTTAGACATCCGTAGAATATATTTGTAGTTACTGGAAATTAAAAGGATTTAGAGTTATTACCTGATGAGACAAGTGTCAAGTAATCTTTTAGGAAGTTGGATGTATAGATCATGGAGAACCTAACAGAATTTAATACATGTAAACACCGAATATCAATCTGAACTTGTTATTTAAATGCTTCAAGGCATACTATGTTAGCTGACTTTGCTCCACTGTTTAAGATGCAACTATAGAGTCAGTTTTCCTTCCTTTCTGTCCCCATTTAAAGAAAAATTGCATTCATTGTCTCCATTCTCTGCTTAATCTAACTGATGGCATCTTGGCAAAGTCTACAATCCCTTATTTACACTTGTGAATTCACTCTGACTACAGCTTTGACATATGTGACATTTGTACCATAACCAACTATTTTTAGGAACACAGGAATGCTGAAAAATAAGTAGGAATGTACAAATGCAGAAAACATAACGGATTTGCGTACAATTTTTTTCCTCTTTTTTTTCTTCACACTTGAATTGAATTGCCTTCAAAGCTCATACATTATGAACAGCCATTTGGTAAACGTAGCCAGAGAGTAAGGAACTATACCTAACTTCAATCACTGCTTTTGGAGAAGAGACTTGAAAAAATCATATAGTAATCCTTGCATTACTTTACAGTTTAGAGGACTGTATATATGGAAAAACTCCCTTTTTTAGAATAATGTCGTGGGTTCTTTAACATCACTTGAATAGGCAGACGGGATCTCATCTCGGGTGGGAAGGGTGTGGGGGAATGGTGGAGAGAAATCAAAGAAAGTCTATAAGTACGACAGGAAAAATTAAATGTTTTACTGGGAGAGTTAATATATATAATAGTATATAATATAATAATAATCCTTGCATTTGATATAGCGCTTTTCACATGTTCTTGACGTCTCAAAGCGCTTCACAGAATATGCTGTAAAGTGAATTGACCGTATATTTGTGGGCAAAACCCGTTAGAAGGAATTGAGTAGAATATTGATTGAATTGTAGGATACTTTGATTTTCCAATAATTCCAAGTTACCTGTCTGGCACTTTGTTTTTTATATATGTTTATTGTAAATTTGAAACTGACCAGATGAACCCCACACAATGTCTTTTCCAATATCCACGACCCACAGACTTGAGAAAAGGTGAAAAGGAGAAAATAATAATCTAGAGTTCATAGTGTAGTGTCAGATCCAAATCCTAACTACACCGTGAAGTTCATTTCTTATGCAGGTAGGGTTATTAGCCAGGGTGACAGGTAATGAAACATTGTAATTGAGTCAATCTTCTACAGTGGTCTCGGTAGTCCAGTGCCCGAGCAGGCCGGTCTGTAGTACTTCAGGACATTGCTGATGACAGACTAACCAGCCTGGCTCATTAACAGCAACGACAACAAGAAATTGCATTTAGGATGTGATCAGCAGGGATTCTTCCCACTCAGCTCCTGTTAACCCTACAAGCCAAAGCCCTAACTGGTAGCGTGGTCCCAGCTGGACAAGCAGCAGGACGACTTGCCAGACTGTGCCTTCAATAACAATCTCTGCGATTTTAGCTAGTCGGATTTCAGCAGTACACTAACATGCACTCTGGGGTCCCTAAACCTTTGCCCAGGCCAACATGTGCCTGATACTCCCTGAAATTATTTAAGTAGGATCCCTTCCTCGGTGGAAGAGTGTGCATTCCACACTGGAATTTTGATGTGTAGGTGGGATGCATAGAACTCTGTCTGATTTGGCTTCTCTTAGCATGATGATGGACTTCTGTATGTGCCAGACACCCAGATGACCAAACAAAAGTGGTACATAAACAGAAATCTCAGAAAAATCTCAGGAGCAATATTGCCTGATAATCAAGCATCTCTCACTGAAGTGTCTCAAGGTGCTTTACAGGCTTTTACTGTGAATTGTAGTGACTGTATTTTGTAGTCAAGTATGTCAACCAATTTATGCACAGTGATATCCCACAAACAATCATGAAGTGAATGACCAATTTATCTGGAGGATTATTGGCCAGGACATCAGGTGACCCATCTCTTTTTGAACAGTGCAACGGGATTTTTAATGTCCAACTGCACAGGCAGATGGGATTTCAGTTTAAGATCTCAGCTGAAGGCCAGCACTTCCCCCATCATTGCAATGGAGTGTCAGGCTAGACTTTGAGCTCAAAGTCCCACCATGGGGCTTGAACTCAGAGCCTTTTGACTCCAAGCCAAGAGTTCTACCGACTGAGCTAAACTGACAACATGCTTGTCACCTATTTACACTGGATAATTAAATTACATTCCAGTCAGTTTTTATCTTTGAAATTGGGATGAGGTTATCTTTGATCCTAACGAAATTATCATCAAAATTATGTGGAGTCCTGTAGCTCAGTGGTTAGAGCGCTCGCCTGGTAAGCGAAAGACCTGGGTTTGATTCCCAGCAGGGCAAGACCTTGGGCAAGTTGCCTTACTCTGGTAGGACACTGCTGTGTGCAATTGGCTGTCGCATTTCACCACAAATATAGTCAATTCACTTTACAGTATATTCGTGAAGCGTTTTGAGACATTTAGAAGACGTGAAAAGCGCCATATCAAATGCAAGGATTATTATTTTTATTAATCACTACATTGATTACACTTCTTCCCCAGTCTTGTGGGACAGTCGCAAATCTGATGCTGCACAATGTAAGTCTAATTAGCACGCAAATAGTTTACGGACAAAACAAGGCTTTGTAAATGTCCTCAGGTAGTTGGAAATGGAGAAGAGAAATGCTGGATTTCTGTGAATGAATTTATTAGTGTGAAGTGTCTGAATTTCAAAGCTATTGATATGGGCCATATTGTTCTCTTCCATTGAAGGAAAGGTTAACGATGAAGGAGCCCAGCCCTCTGTGAAGGTTAACACCCTTGGGCCGCAGTTTGTGAGTGGAGTCATTGTGAAGATCACCAGCACTGAACCCCTGCTGGGCAGGAAACAGATCAAGGTAAATATGTGCCCTCAGGCCAGTCTCTTAGAACTGGTTCTCAGAAAAAAGCTTTAACCCTGTCATGCCATGTTTACCTTGCAGGATGTTTCAATCTCAAACACACTAAATAAAGAGCTGCCCTTGTCTGCCTCCCAATAGAATTCAATTCAATCCTATTTACCCTGGAGGAAATCTAAAGCATTGGCACCAATGTCGGAATAACTGTTTGAGAACGTACCGATGAGTGCAGTTGTTCCTTGTTGCTTCTGTTTGTTGTCTGGCTGCTGAACTTTGCTCCACATTGAAGGTCTGTATAAGGCAGCAGTGCACAGAACCACAGTGCTAGCCTGTAGGCCTGGGCTATCCTCCTCCGGGAGAAGGTTACCTGGATCTCCTTGTAGCTGAAATGGCTGCAAGGTGACGTGCTTGGCAATGGAATATCAGAATCAAGTCCACTCTCTGGTGGTCTCGGTAGTCCAGTTCCTGAGTTAAGTGGGTCCACAGTTCTCCAGGGCTCAACTGTTGACAGCACAGCCAGCCTGGCTCATCAGCAGGCCTTGAAGGGTAGATCAAACACTGGGGCAGGGACCCTTCTCACTCAGCTCCCATTATGCCCGCAACCAAAGCCCTGATGGGTAAGGGTGGTCCTGGACAAGCTGTGGGAAAGCTTGCCAGACGGTGCTTTCAATGGTAATCTATTTGTTTTTTAGTCACTCCCAGCCAGAACAGAACAACAGCAGAGGGAATGCTGTTTTCAGAGGTTGAGAGATATCACCACCAGAGATAATAGGGCCACTTTATTGCAATGCTGGTATAAATTGCATGTATTCCATGAGCAGCACTGCAATAAATAATATATATAAATAATCCTTGTATTTGCAATTGCGTCCTATCATGTTGCAAAATGCCGCACAGTATTTTTTAGGCAAATTGTTGTGTTAGCAAGCTCCCCAAAACAGCTATGAGGCAAATGACCAATTTAATTTGGAGGATTGTTGGTTAAAACAGGAGAGACCCCCTCATCTTTTCAAATACTGTCACAGGATCTTAAAACAGGCACCTGAGGAACAACAGGCACATAGGCCTTTAACATCTCATCTGAAAGATTACACCTCCAACAATTCAGTGCTCTCCCAGTACTGCACTGGATTGTGAGACTGGGCTTTGAGCTGAAGCCTCAAGTGTAAACACAGCAGGACATTATTTTGTGTACATAGATGAAAGTGATTCTTCATTTTCCACCCCTCCTCCTCCTCCTGAACTGTTGATGATCTGGTGCTGTTCAACAGCTGCCTTCAGTGCCACTGTCACTTAAGTGGCAGTTTTTCATTCATGAGGCAAGACAGTAAGTGTTGCACATTATGTTAAACCATGCAGGGTAACCTACCCATGCCCGATCGTATACTTGATCAACATCCATACACAATGGCAGGAGAATGCTCTTTTCAGACACCAACCAGCCTGGCTCATCAGCACGACTTGGAGGGGCAGACTTGGGGAGGGATTCTTCCCACTCAGTTCATGTTAACCTTACAAGCCAGACCTAATTGGGTAGGGACCCGAGGTGAACAAGAGGTGAGAAGCTTTCCAGGCAGTGCTTTCAATGGCAAGCTATGAAGTTTTGCTGGTTGAATTCCAGCAGTGCCCCAACTCACACTCGGGGGTCCCCAAGTCCTGGCCCTTGCCATCCCTGAGCCTAATACTCTCTCTAGAATTAAGTAAGCAGGATGTGTCTATGGAAAGAGAGTGCATTCCATTCTGAAACACAGACATTTCCATGTGTAGGTGGGATACATGGAACTCTCGGTTTGGTTCGAATACTCTTAAGCACAGTGATGGGTTTGCTCATGTGTCAGACACCCAGCTGACCAAAAAAAGCCTGGTCAGTTTGAGAAACCTAGGAAGTGAAATAAGCCTTTCAACTTGTGTATCCTTGTCTTATTTTATTCGTAGATGGCAGCTCTTTCTATCTAATACAGTTTCCCTGCCTTTTCCTCACATGCCTTTATACCGTTACTTCTCAGGTATCTATCTGTCTCCCCCTCACGTCACCTGAATTGATTCTGCATCTGTGACCTTCTGGGGCAGTGAAGTTCACGTTCTCATAGTCCTTGTCTAGATTTACTTCTGGGTGGTAAAGCTCTAATTTTAAGTTTCAATCCCTTTCTCTCGATTTCCTCCTCTTGAGATGAGTCATTTACTACATAAATTGTCAATTTTCTTTTATTTTAAAAGTCTCAAATCATTTTCCTCCTGAGATCTAGGGAATATAATTCTACCGGCCTCTCACCATAGCTAAGCCTAGTTGTTGCTCAGCAAACTGGAGTAACAAAACTCAGTAACTGTTTTATTAATTGTTTATCAAGTTTAGCTGAAAACTGTAGACATGTATGCTGCGTATGTCCACAAAATACACAGTCACACCACTTTACTGCATATCCGGTGAAGCACTTTGAGATGGCGTGACGATGTAATAAGGCATTGTATCAAATGCAAAGATTATTAATGTTATGGTGTTCAGTAAATTGAGATGGATTTTTTTCTTTTACTATTATTAACTTGCACTGTATAAGCAAATGTATCCCATTCGGCTTCTAACCTCAATACAGACCGTAATAAAAACAGAAGTGGCTGGGAACACGCAGCAGGTCAGGCAGCATCTATGGAGAGAGGAAAATGAGTTAACGTTTCAGGTCGATAACCTTTCGTCAGAACTGTGTTGACCTCAACAGTTGCTCACTCCGTTGCAGCCAATATGGAACTTCCACATCTTGTGCAACACTCCTACAAAACTTTTATCCATATTCTGAACAAGTCCACTTTTCTGCACCATTGCTCGCCTCCACCATTTTTGTTTCGCCCACAAAATATGCTGTCAATTAATAACAATAATAATAATCCTTGCATTTGATATAGCGCTTTTCACGTCAGGAGGACGCCCCAAAGCGCTTCACAGAACACACTGAAGTGAATTGACTGTATATTTGTGGGCAAACACGGCAGCCAATTGCGCACAGCAATGTCCCACAAACAGTCGTAGATTGAAAATGGCCAATTTATTATTGTTTTTGGTTTTGGAGGGATTATTATTAGAGCTCTGTGTGGAGTAAGGAAACTTGCCCAAGGTTTCTCTCTGCCTGGAATTGAACTCAGGTCTCTCGCTTGCAAAGCGAGTGCTCTAACCACTGAGCTACAGGACTCCAGTTGGAGCGGTTACCCAAGTCGTTCTGTTGCTTAAACAGTCAACACTGCCATGGCTAAATGCATCTGCTTTTGCGTATTGAACATGGCAGAATTATTCTGCACATTCTAATATTTGCACATTACATTCTATTTTCTACACATTTAGTGAAAACCATGAAATTCATTTTTGAGTGAAAACTGAAAGGCTATATAGCTTTGAACTCCTGTGTAATTTTTCTTTAAATGCAACGCTCCACAAAAATATAAAACTCTGAAAACACATTGCCATTTACTTAGAAGCTGCTGGTTTACCATCAGGTTAGTTTCTGTTGCACATTAGTTATACAAGCACATCTTGGGGCTCTGATACATGCACATATAGGCATCGCAGAAGTGTCTTTTGGCCAATCCATCAAGCTGCTTTAGGTCTGTATGAAGCAGCTCGTCCTCTGGTATCATTAAATAATCACCCTCTTGTGGACAATCTGTTATTTCTGGAATATTCTCATTATCAATTCGGTTGGCCATGCTGTCAAAGAAAACCCCCGATCGTTTCCCTGGCCCATATTTCACAAATGAAACATAGTGGCTGGTTTCGATGCAAAGTACTGCAAACAGTTCCATCTTATGTCGTGGAAAAGGAGGTTTGACCGAGAAGTTATTTGGACTTGGGAACTTTCTGATCTGGTGCTCCTTCCGCTTCATGTGAGAATGAACCTGCATATTGCAAATGTCGCAGTACCGTTTTATTAGTCCTCGTTTAAAAATAGGGTCCAGAAGGCATTGATCACATTCATATTCTGCTATTCCTCCACAAATGAAACAATGTCTCAGGGTGTTTGAAAGCAAATCAGTGATATCTAGCTCCAGGGATGGCCTGATTTTGGGGAACATTTTCACTTTCCAGTATATTCTGTGAAGCTCTTTGAGACGTCTGGAAGATGTGATAAGGCGCTACATCAAATGCAAGGATTATTATTATTACGAGGACCCTAACACAGCAGAAACCTATTATAATCTTCATCCACACCTTTGTCATCTCCAAACTCAATGTGACAGAACAACCAACAGCCAGAACGATGCAGCCCACTTCCTCTCCCCCACTTGGTTCCATGATCCAACAATTCCCCAACCTTGCCCAGCACCCTTGGCTTTCTATCCCTCAAACAATCTGTGGAGTCCTGTAGCTCAGTGGTTAGAGCACTCGCTTTGCAAGTGAGAGACCTGAGTTCAATTCCAGGCAGAGGGCGAAACCTTGGGCAAGTTTCCTTACTCCACACGCCTAATAATAATCCCTCCAAAAAACCAAAAACAATAATTAAATTGGTCATTTTCAATCTACGACTGTTTGTGGGACATTGCTGTGCGCAATTGGCTGCCGCGTTCGCCCACAAATATACAGTCAATTCACTTTACAGTGTGTTCTGTGAAGCGCTTTGGGACGTCCTCCCGACGTGAAAAGCGCTATATCAAATGCAAGGATTATTATTATTATTATTATCTTTAAGATCCTCGTCCTCACCTTCAAATCAAGCGAACCCCCTTACCTTGGAAGGTGTCGAGCTTTTTGTATGGAAAATTCATTACAAATAAGGTATTACAGGGATCACATGCGAGGTTTGGAAGAAGAAAACACCTATTTAATCTCATTCTTCCAGAATACTCAGCATACCACCCTTCTATTACAGCACTATACTTTTTCTGAAATGAGTCCGATGTCCTGGCCTCAGCCACTCTTCCTGGTACAGTTTTGTAAAAATAATTATTGATATTGTTACAATTTTCTTTTACGCCAGTGTACCATAGGAGGAAACATCAGTTAACATTCTAGGTTTTGTTTTCAGTGTGTTTCGCTGGGAAATGAAACACTTTTCCATTTTATAATAAACTAACTTTCTTTGTGAAGGACGCATTGATGGAGATATCAGAGGTTTTGTATGTGGACCTGCTGGAGGGAGATACTGAAGGACATGTTCGGTTCAAATGTCCAGAAGATGCTCAGACTCTGCTTGCTGCACACCGGCAGATTCAGGACAAGTACCACTGGAAACTTGAGCTTCTCACAGGTCAGCAAATATCAAAATCCTATTTGTTGTAGTGTGAACAAAGGTTTAAGTTGTATGAGAGGATGTCAGTATGTCTGGACCATGAGAAGTTTTTTTCCAAACCACTCTATTATAATTAAGGAATAGAACTTCTTACAAAAAATCTGGCGTTATACATAGAATTGTTGTATTGCTGTACCCCTTCTCCCTAGTCCATCAATATTGAGGCTATTTGTAGTGTTTATTGATATCACTTAAAAACGACAACAAAATTACATTTGTATAGCGCCTTTCACATCGGGAGGACATCCCAAGGCGCTGGACAGACAGAGTTACGGACCCGAGCTGAGGGTCAGGGTGGGGGAGGGGGGTGGGCAGAGGTGGGGAAGCAGGGAGATCAAAAGTACAGTTGAAGAGGAGGGTCTTGAGGTGGGGGTCTTGAAGGTAGCAAGGCAGGGGGCAAGATAGAGGGACTGCGGGATGGAGTTCCAGAGGGTGGGTGCAGAGTGGCGGAAGGCCGCCCGCTGATAGTGGGGCAAGCAAGACGGGGTACGTGAAGCAGGCGGAGCCTGCTGAGCAGAGGGAGCTAACAGAGTGATAGGGGATTAGGAAGTCGGAGAGTTAGGTGGGAGCAAGACCGTGGAGGATCTTGAACTGTATTCTCTGTGTGATGAGAAGCCAGTGGAGTCGGGCGAGGATGGGGATGAGAGGGTCATGGAGCCTGGTGCGGGAGAGGACACGGGTTGCAGAGTTCTGGATGATCTGCAGCCTGTGGAGAGAGGAGTTGGGGAGACCAACAAGCAGTGAGTTTGCATAATCGAGCCTCGATGTAATGAAGGCGTGTATGAGGGTTTTGGTGGCCTGCGGTGTGAGACAGTGTCGGAGCCGGACAACGTTGTGGAGGTGGGGGAAGGCAGAGCAGGTCATGGCATGGATGTGGGGTAGAAAGGATAGTTGAGGGTCAAACAAGACCCCAAGGTTCCGGACTGGATTAGTAAGGTGGAGTGTGCAACCATGGATGGTGATGCTGTCAGCGCCTGAGGTGAGGAGGCGCTGACGGGAGCCAATCAGGAGAGCCTCGGTCTTGTTGACGTTCAACTGAAGAAAGTTAGCTCTCATCCAGGACTAAATACACTCACAGCACTTTATAGTACTTTATAATATACTCCTGTGAACTGCTTTGAGGTGTCCTCCTCATATTAAAGGCACTATATCAAATATAAGGATTATTATTATTATCATTTAGTTTAGGCCCTGATGCAATTCATTTATCACATGTACATTGGAAGAGCTGTGGTAAAATATCTAATTTCTCATTCTATAATTACATAATGATAAAAATGTAATGAATAAAGCATTGCACTGTAGCGCCAACACCTCTCGGTGCCTTGTGGGATGGGGGCTCACTTTTACCACACTTAGCAGGACCACTGCAGTGTGTTGCCAGGTGCAGGTTCAACAACTCCCTATAAGGCAGGCTGAGAGGAAATAGAGCATTTGTGGAAGTCATTGCAGTCTCTTGTCATGTTCCGAGCAAAACGGAACCCAGTGGCTGAGAATGTCAAGCGACTGCCAGGATTGTGGAGGGCAAACTAAATGAACCTTGGTCTTTTTTTGACGAGCAAATTCTTATGTTCTTATGAATAGGATATGAACCTGCATTCTCAGTCACTATTCTTAAATTCTGTGAAATACCGACCCGAAAGGCATTATATCAAATGTAAGGATTATTATATGCACATCTCCCTGCTGATGGCATGTTTATGTGTGGATATTGATTAAGGAAATACAGGACTAGTTTCAGCTGTGACATTATTGCAGTTCAATAGCCTGCCACTGATCATGATCAAGGCTCAGTTATGAATAGTGGACACTTTGAGTTGTCAAGAGTTATCAGGAGGTGACCAGTCCCTGTGGAACTGTATCCCAGCTGAACAACAAATGAGTTAAGCACCTAGAGCGAAAGAGAAAGAATAGGGCAAGCAAAATAATGGGTTGGTGTGCTAAAGGTTTTCATATTTACAAAAATTTCATATTTCATAATTGGGATGGGGCGGGTAAATGGACTTAGCTTAGAAGATCAGCTATGATCTTATTAACTGGCAAGGCAGGTTCGAGGGGCCGAATGGCCTACTCCTGCTCCTATTTCTTATGTTCAAACACAGTTTGCACAGTGATCCAAATAACTATAGGTGTAGAATTTTATTTTGCAAAGTATAAGATAAAATAAGTAAATCTGGTCCTGAATTAAAACATCCTGCCACAACCAGGGATCAAACTTGGTTTATTTTCCGCAAGGTAAAAGAATGCTGCCTCTTCTGTTTGCTTTATTCATTGTCTTGTTTCGTCTAACTAGGTGATGGGGAACAACGTTACTGGCAGAAGATTTTGGTGGATAGACAAGCAAAGCTAAACCGACCACGGGACAAAAAAAGAGGCATGGAGAAGGTAGTTGTAAAGAATTTACAGCATTATTGTTGCTATCAAAGGCCTGACCATGCTGGGTAGATCCATCAGATTTGAGAGTGGAAGGTTTTGATTTGAATCCCCTAGGTCCACACGGCTTCACCCTTTTGAGGTTGAGTATCATATCCATACAGAGTTACTCTTTGGAGGAGTTGATAGGCTCCCCCCTATCAGATACAATTCAAAATTACATTTGTATAGCAACTCCCACGTGAAAGTACATCCCACGTTATAACTTACCTGTCAAGGGTAGACAGATGCATAGTAGTAATCCATGGTAAAGTCGGTGGTGACCTGTCCTCAGTCCTGCAAACCAAAAAAAAGAACAGCTAGGGCAATCTGGCTGCACAAATATCAATCTTTTTAACTTGTGAAAGAAAAATCTTCAATATAAAGAATATGCCATTTGCTTTCAAACTTTTTTTTAAAAGTAGGGGTGAAAAAAATAAACTTTAAAATGTTTTTCTGTTGCAGTTGATTGTCAAGGCGGAAAAAATAATTGCTGCCAGGACACAGAAAACTGGGAAACATATTCGTTTTTCCCAGGAAGACTGAACACACAGTTTCTAATGTCTTCTTTCAGTCAAAATGATTATTTTTTTACTTTGCAAACTGTACTTCAGGGAGTTTCTAAATGATTGTCGTGTTACTGTACATGCAAATATTGTTGTGCAGAAGCTGTTCACAGCCACATTTGAAAAAAAAATTGACTGAGTTGTTATACTTCTCTGAGTTGTGTGAGATTGGATCTGTTGTACATTCTTTGACATAAAGGCATAAATCGATTCCAATGATCGTTTACGTTTTTTTTAAAACAGCTGTAGGTATATTAGACATGTTACAATGGAAAATTAGGTTGAATAATACAACAACTTGGATTTATATAGCACCCTCCACGCCGGACCGGCGTCTCAGAGCGCTTCATAGTAACGGATCCCGGGGCCGAGCCGGGGGGAGGGGGAGGAAGATGACCAAAGGCGTGGTCGAAAAGAAAGTCTTCACCCGAGACCTGAAAATAGGAAGAGAGGGGGCGAGGCGAAGGGAGTGAGGAAGGGAGTTCCAGAGCATTGGGGCATAGTGGCTGAAGGCACAGCCTTAAAATAATCATTTTAAACTTGTGATTTAAATCCATTCCCCTAAGATTCACTTTGCTGAATAGTGTTTAATTGTAAATGCCTGTTTGCAAGCAGGCATGTGTGAAGAACATGCATAACTGCATTTGTGTGCTGCTTTGTTAACAGTGATAGATCTACACAAATATTCAGAAAATCAGGTCTGAATCTTTTTCTAGATTCAGTATTGAGCCACATTGACAGGAAATTCATGGGGGTGAGAGTTGAATATGATTTTTTTTAAAAAACACGTTTTATTATTACCCTAATAAACATGTGTTTTTTTAAAAAAATGCATTGTTTATATTTAACTGGCTATGGTATATGCTCTACTGAAGCGATGTAAAAACCTCCCTCCCTGTTAGATACTGAGACCATACAGGCCTGTGCTGCTGATACAGAGTGTTGTTTTGAGTTCTCCCCCATTTCCAGGTGTCTTTGCGGATGTCTGTGTGGGGAACTTGTGCCTTTAAGTGTTAAAATTAACACATTTTTTAAATGTATTAAAAAATACACCCAATTCTGTTTATTTTCTTGATGGTTTGTGAAATGACTGAATGTAAACTAGCCAACACTGCCCTCCTGGAGCTGATTGTCACTCCATGTGGAACATTTCCCCCCCCATATTCATCATATTTTCACAAGCTTCAACAATCTACCTATGTTTATGGACAGCATTGGATCCTCTACAGATGAGGTTTTTATTTACAGCCTTTACTTTCCTACTCAGTACAGAACCCTTGGATAAAGTAAGTTGGAATCATCTGCCAACAATCTTTCTCTTCTCTCCCCCCCACCCCCAGATCTTGTGATGGGGGAGGGGAAATAGGCAACTGGTTGAATAGTGCTCAGGGTGAATGGAGCCTGTGGAGAGAGGGAGAACAGTAGGGGAAGCTGAATCTATTGCATATGAAGGGGTGGGATGTTCTGATATGGACATTCAAGGAGGTAGATTCCTGTGCTTTCCTGTGGGCTTTTAATATGCAAGGATTGACACTGCATGTGGTGGAGACTTTTAATATGCAGGGATTGACTCACTGCATGTGGTGGGCCTTAATTTGATGAATGAAGACCACTGCTCCTACAGAAAGGAATCTGCTTTCAAGGGATACTTAACTCTTAAATCTATTGGAATGTCATTCTCTCCTGATCCTCAGGAGGTGGGTAAATGTGTTTAGTATTCACTGGGTCATTCACAGTTGAGTACTTCCTTTTTTTCCTCAGTTTCCCCACTTCCACCCCCAAACCCCCCCCCCCCCCCTTCAGCTTCCACCATTGAAGGTAGATATATATTTTGCATGAAATCGTTTGCCAGGTTGAAGTTGTAAATCGCAAGGAAAGAATAACCAGGTGCTGTGAATAATTATTATAAAATTACTGCATTTTGCTTTACTCCACACCCACACAAAATGTTTGGCACTGCAAAGCCAAAATACAGTACCTTGTAGAATACACACTTTGAGAACTAAATTTTACATTGTATTTTTTTAATGATGAACAAATAGCGGCTTCCATGAATGAGTGTGCATCTACCATTTTACCCACAAAATACAGTCAATTCACTTTACAATATGTCCTGTGAAGCGCTTTGAAACGTCTCATTGACGTGATACCGCGCTATATCAAATGCAAGGATTATTATTATTACCTCTTGAGTTTTGCTCCCGATAAACATTTTCTCATGTATTTTTATGTACAGCTCTAATTCTCTACTCACTTCCCCCCCCCCCCTCCCAAACTGAGTGAATCATATTTCCTTCTACCTAATATGGGTTCATAGGAGCCAATTCCCCTCCGCTATCTCATCCAAATGGACGTTATTCACGTGTAAGCCTATGAGTGTTGTCAGGCTTTTTGAGCACAGGATTATCACAGCTGAGCCCAATCGTGTTCACATCCACAGCCTCAGACTTGCTCCTTCCAGCAGAGTTCTCCGGAACGAGAGCCCTCACTAATGTTCCCTTCCAAATCACAAAACGCTGTGGACAATTGTAGCGGCACTTCAGCTAAAATGAATAAACTCAGCACAGATTCTGAGGAATTCAAGCCTATGACCTGCTAGCTTGTGTGTCTTGCTGTCTCAGGTTGTACCTTTACCCATAGCGGTAGAGGTGGGTGCTGAAATATGCTTTTTTACAGTTGATTTTATTTTGTAACTAACATGAGGATTTTTTTAGAATTCCACGAAAGTGTTTTTATGTTGTTGTTGTTTATGTTGTTATGTTGTTAGTTATTAATGCTGAGAAACTATTCACCATAATTTAGAAAGCTGAAAGCACCACAGGCACCACGACAATCTCTAGCTTTCTCAGTCTTGCTGAAGCTATCTTGAGTACTCGCCTCGGTGTTTCGCAATGTTTGGTTTGTGTATTGGTGGAGTGAAAGTTCATGTCCGTAGTCCTTGGACCTCCAGATTTAGGTGGAGGGGGAAGCTGAGGCCATATTATGATTATTGAGCCATCAAAAGGCGAATCATTCCACCTCGTTTTAGCCTGCAGGATTGTTTTAAAATTGTGGAAATGAAATCGTCTTAAATTCATTCTTAATTTGGACACTTTCCATTGCGTTGCAAAAATATTCTTAACAGTTGAAAGTAATAAAAATGATTTATGGCTATTCTCTTACCTGGGGATAAAGAAAAATACTTTAATAAGTACGAATGAGCAGACTGATACAGTGCTTGGGTTACCCAGATGATGGGTGCATTTTATAATGAGTTCCAATTACATGGGTCTGACTAGGCATCTGTCAGGGTTCAGTTTGACCATTAAAATGAACACTGGTTCTTCAATTAAACGCTGCAGCACAGATTTGAGAAAAACAATGTACGAGACAAATTTTATAGAAAAGAAAAATTGTATTTGCCTCGCATACTATTTGTGATCCATATTTGTTCATTCTTTTGAGTTACTGTTATGTTGTTAAATCCTAATAATAGGAAAAATCCTAATAAAACTGCTGCCCATTGAGTTATTTTTTTAAAAAAATGATTTTTCACGTTCTTAGCATCCTTTGTAAAAAGATTACAGTCACAATTTCATAATTCAAGTTATGATGAATTGGGTAGTGGAAGGTGGTAATTTGCAAATTTTACAAGATTCAATGAATAATAATCCTTGCATTTGATATAGTGGCTTATCACGTCTTTGAGACGTCTCAAAGCCCTTTACAGAACATACTGTAAAGTGAATTGACTGTATATTTTGTGGGTGAAACGCGGCAGCCAATTTTGCACAGCAGTGTCCCACAAACAGTCGTGGATTGAGTGCCCAATTTTTTTCTGAAGGAATTATTACCCCCGGAAAAGCGATCCACCAATCAACTAACTGGGAGTTGTTAACCGAGAATGTTATATTAATTTAAAAAATTAAAGAGGGAATGCAGACATTTCACATTTGAAACTTTGTGAATAAATATCACAGGCAAGTCTTGTATTTATATAATAATATTACAATATATTGTATTTAACAAGATCACTGACCCATCAGTGACTACTCCAGCAATTTCCTCCACTTACGAAAAATCTGCTTTGCATTCACCATCTGCACCGTGCCCATTTGTGAGCAAGGCTTAAGCCATTCTGTCCCCACTCTTTACAACAACAACAACAACTTGGACTTATATAGCACCCTCCACGCAGGGTAGCGTCTCAGAGCGCTTAACAGTGGCAGAGCCTGACTCCGAGCCGGGGGGAGGTGGCTGTAAGCACGGTTGAACAGGAAAGTCTACAGGCAGAACTTGAAAGAGGGTAGATAGGGTGCAAGGAGGAGAGATTGAGGTTTACAGTGCTTCCATCTTACTCCCTGCCCATCTACTTAAAACCTGCCATAAAAATTCTCTGACTGCTTTCGGCCACCTTTCTTCTCCCGCTTCTCGCTACACTGCTCCCCACTGCCAACTCAGACTGTATGCAACACTTTATTATGTCCTCCGAACGTGAAAGTCGCCTTGTTATTTGTTACCTTTAAGCCTTGATGGTGCCCTACATATTGAATGGGCCATCGCCCATCACCTAGGTTTCTCAATAAAAAGAAACTCTAAGAATACGTTTCTGACTGCTTACATTTTCTTTGACCGCTGAATGTCTGACACATGTGGAAACATAATGCCATGCTTAAGGTTTTTGACAAATGTTAGTCCTGAACATCAAAGCCCTAACTAATAGAATAGTTCTAGCAGTGGGAAACTTGCCAGACAATGCTCAATCACAAGCTGTGTGCTTTTAGCTGGTTACATTTCAGTGGTACCACAATACACACTCTGGGTTCTCCTGCCTTGGTTCTTGCCAACATAATAATAATAATTTCATTTGATGTAGCGCCTTATATCTTTGAGACGTTCCAAAGCACTTCACGGACTATATTGTAAGTGAATTGGCTACATTTTGTGGGTGAAACGCTACAACCAATTCAACACAGTAATGTCCCAGAAACAGTCGTTGATTGAGTGACCACATTTTTTTTAAAAACGGATTATTACCCTCGGAAAAGCGATCCACCAGTCAACAAACAAGCGGGTTCCTACTAACTGCTAGGTAAACAGAGGCGTGCGGAGTAAGGAAACTTGCCCAACGTTTCGTCCTGCCAGGAATCGAACCCAGCTCCTCTCGCTTGCGAGGCGAGTGCCCTCACCACTAAGATACAGGACACAAAATGTGTGATGCCCTCTGGAATTAGGTA